GTTAACACTGTTCTATTTAACATTCCTAGTTTTATGATTTAAAAGTAGTTCAACAGTTTCTTCATACAATTACTTCCGTAAATCGATTTGCATTTTATATATTGAAATAAAGAGCAGTAAACAATTGGTGGAGTAGTTTATTTAGCCTGGTAGTCATGTCCATTGTACAGCTTTTCAGTATCCAGTTAACACTCTACTTTTCATTTAAAATGTATCCATGAAACAGCTGGAAGAAGTAGATTATCTAGGATAATATATTTGCAGGAACAGGCTGCATGAAATCTGACCAGATCTCCACAGTATGTGGATGTGGACTGGCAGACCGGGTTCCTTTTTACAGGACCCGAGGGTGTTTCAATCTGAAAAACTCACACAAAGAGAAAAGACAATTAGGAGAAATTTATTGATACAATTACGTTGTCGTTAGCACTCAGACCTCGGCAGAAAAGATAGCACTTAATTTTGATAGATATGGATGAACAGGAGCAAAGAATAGGGCTGTTTCCCCCCCAGGTCTGAAACTGGTGGTGGAGTGGAGATAGATGAAGTTGGTCATTCTGTAGACTGCTGGTTAGCCAGATGGTCTGCTGAGCTTTATGGGGAGATCCAGTGGATTGTGTGAGCTGATATGGAGCTTCACTCAGGGACCTGGAAGATGGAAGTCCAGTTGGATAACACAGGTTGAGAGATCCTGTCCATGGTGTGCAAGAATGAAGCGACAGTGGAGAGGAAAAACTCCCCGTTGGGAAGAAACCTCTGGCAGAACCAGGCTCAACATGGCGGTCTTCTGCCGCACCGGTTGAGATGAGACAGGGAACGCAGTAAGAGTCCGGGAGGAATGACTCTCAGATGAAGCTTTAGCTACGATGGTGGAGGAGGGAAGGCAGGTGGGTTGAAACTGTCTCATCTGAATGAAGTTAGTCGCCTGTGCACAGGAGCAGACAGGTGCTTATCGGAGGCCTTTTAAGATGAACTTTGGATGCCGATTGGCTTTCGTGGAGGTTTGGTTCAAAGCTGATTGGCTGTGTCGCAGGTTGATGTATGAAAAGCGATGACTTTCTTCAGTTGAACTTCCGCCTAGACTCCATTTTAACTACAGGGGGGACCACCCTCCTTCTAGGGAAGGTCTAAACAAGAGTGCTGGAAAGCAGAGTTCATCTGATTGCTGAACCGTGACTTTAGGAGGTAGGTGTGTGTTTTTCTTCCCGGTCCTGGACCACGCTGCCACCCTCAACAGAGTGCTTAAGGGGTTATTAGAACTTTTCCAACCGGTCTGCATTTGTTTTGTGGACGTAGAGATGTGTTTGACCCTTTTTACATTGTGCCGAATTAAGCAGAAGTCTAATTCACATTGCTACTGTTAATATTGACATGTTGGACTCAAGCAGGGCTGCCTTCCGTCACTGGCATATTAAAAATGTTCATGTACAGGACTTCTAGAGACAATTGATTGTAGAAGCGAGTCTGGTTTAGGGACAGGCAGATTTCATCATTGCTTTTCACTGATATGACTGCTATCTCTTCCTGGCTGGGACCTAAACAGTACGCTTGGCTGTTTGCAGCAGAGTATCAAATGGGTGTGATGAAGATTAGCTCCTTCTCCAAGCCTGTGGTTCTTGACCAGGAAAGGGCGGGTTGCCCTCTTTAGGCCTTGTTTACTAATGAGGCGAGAAGGAAAGCTGAATTTGTACATATATATATCCTGTTAAAAAAAAAAAAACATACACAAAGAGAATGTAAAGATATGATTAGTATAGAACTACAGACCTGCATGTTTTAAATCAGTGTTCAGGGTCAAAGGTCATGTTACTGCTGTAAACTACATGATTGCCACTATTAAGACATAAAACATTTCAATTGAGCAAAGAAAGAAACTGCTTTCTGATTCTTAAATATCAACCCTGACCACCAAAAGTTTTTTTTTTTATCTGGAAATTTCTTGAAGATCATGATCCTCATGCCGTTGTGAGAGCTTTTAAAAAATAGTAGCATTTACAGAAATATTTTTTTGTTCTGCAGTACCATCTGGGAAGAGTCAGGCAGAATGGACCAGCAAGAGTAAAATGGCTGCCATCCTGACCTGCGATACAGTTTCCCTTATGGCCACCAGAGAGCACTAATGACCCTTCACAGGTCAACAATCTATGGCAGCATGCAGGATTGAGAAAACATCCACAACTGTCATAATTTGAAATAAACCAATTTCTTTTCCTCCTGCATGTCAGGCAGCTCCATTTATTATTTTTAATTCCCCATGATTCAAGTGATGCTTAATAAAAGCTAGGAATAGCAAGATATAAAGTAGACTAAAGTAAATATTTACAAATTCTCAGGTTTCTTTTGTCTATTTCATGTCTGTGGATTTGCAAGCCTCAAACAAAAACCTATGACTTCACTGAGGATAATGCTATGAGTGACAACAATGTAGTTAGGGAATGAAGATTCTGCTTGAGACTTTGCTCCATAATTCTTCCTTTGTTGAAAAATTATATCATATAAATTTCTTCATATTTACCTAACCACACATGGATGCAGCCATTCATCTGTAATTAATAGATTCTATAGACCCTGACTGTGCTTCTGCAGGCTGGGGGTGATGTTACTGCTACCATGGGATTGGCTGATTATAGCAAAAATCAGACGATTTTTACAACTAAATATTTAGTTGCATTGCTGCATATCATGGAGGCTGCTGGACATTGGTTTTAAAATCCGTATCTTTTTTGACCTATTTACAGAAACTGTCATCATGCCTAGTCGGCAACATGAAGCAGACTGCGCTTGAGTGAAAGCAATCAATAGGAGCCAGAAGGTGTTTCTGACGGCTGTCAATAAATGCCACATCTGCAGGGGCCAGTAGCTATTAGCCTCACCAGCACGGAGGGCTATCAAAGAGCAAGAGCGCAGAAAAAGAAGGCCCTACCATAAAGGTTTACTGGAATTATCAAATGCAGTGTTATAACAACAAAGAAGCATCTTTTTCTGCAGCAAAGAAATCAAACTGGGGCAGTCAAAGGTTCTTCAATGGTCCTTTTATATTTTTTTGGAGCAGTTGCAATCTGTTTGAGGCAATAGAAAGATTCACAATTGTCTTTTTAAAACACATTTGGTCTAGCAACAAAAAATAAAATAAAATAACCGACATTATATCTCCATACAGGTCTTATAAGTCAGGCTTTCTGCCTAAGGATCACAAAGACATACATGAATCAGTTTCCCGATGCTCACGGAGAATTACAGCACATCTGTTGATCATCCAGCGTGTGTGTGTGGAAAACACCTGCGTCATGAGTGGCTTGTTAAGCATTGGAAGATGACCTCTAGGACTTCTAAAAGAGTTGGCAGGCAGGGCCAGGGACTGTTGTCAGCTGTTCCAATTTAGCCTTTGTCACTTGATGACAAAAATACTCATGCATTCATGGGATACAAGTTTTTTTCTTTGACTTGAGGAGGTCAGCTTATAGATGTACATGCAAAGGTGTTCATACACTTTGAGGTTTTGCACATTTTATCACACAACAATCGCAAACTTTGGTGGGATTTATTAAGATTTATGTGCTACACTAGCAAAGAGAATGATGTATATAGTGAAGTTAAAGAAATTTGTTAGGAATTAGAAATATGAAATATATGATGTGCATATTCCTTCCCCCCACTTTGATCTGATATTCCTAAATCAAACTCTGGAAAGCTTCCTGTGAAATCTATTACACAAAAATTAAGACACGGTTGTCAAACTTAACCGGCAGCCCATGGAAGGAGAGCGTTGAATAAAGAAGTCAATGCTAACTTTGGCAGAGTTGCAGTGATCCAGAACTTAAAAGGAGACAAAAATGTTAAGAAGAAAACTATATACTCACTTTCTAGTGGCAAAATGGAAACCGATTGTTAAAAAGTCACACATAAAAAGTCAGTCACATTTCAGCTAAAAAAAAAGTGTGAAAGTAGTTCTAATTAAACAAAATTGACAGAATTTCTAGTTAATTTCTAGACATTACCAACCTTGGCTTGCTACCATCAGATCTATTCAGAGAAAGGAGAGATATTCAGCACAACTTTCACAGCTGATTGGGCAAAGCCACACTTAGAGCCTGCCTACCAGTGTTTGGTTTAAGCCAATCAGCTGGTAAAAAAGGCACAAACACATTTACCATCGAAAATGCACAAAGCGCTTCTTGTTATTCTTGGATGAAATTGTGTATTCTGACAAAACAGATATAGCAGCAGCTACACGTGGTTCCTCCTGCACTGCCATGTTGATTGTGCACTCACAACCTTTGCTTTGTTCACAGCTGTATGTCCCGCCTAAAACCATAATACCGCAACGCGATTGGTCGACCCCTGCTGGGTCAGTTCTTGAATGAGTGAGGCAGGAGTGTTTTTGAATGCATCAATACAGAGAGAATTTGTACGGTGGCAGGGCAACAATCCTAAAAGTTCTGATGGAGCTAAAATATAATTCCATTTAAGTGAGTTTAAAGGAAACCGTACAAAATAAATCAGTGCACTAACTGATTCTTAGTGACACACTTCAAGAGAGTTGCTGCTGTAATTTCAGCCAAAAGTGTTGAATCAGTGGGGAAAAATAAAAATGCATACAACACTTTTAATCTTTTATTTTCAGTAAAAAAAAAATATTGATCCTTTTCCTTATCTCACCCACATTGTGTGGCTCTATCCAGTAAAATTCAAATCCAAATACACTGAAGTTTGTTTTTTGTTACGTAACAATATGTGAAACACTTCAAGGAGTGCGAATACTTTAGCAAGGCGCTGTAGATAGTCCTAATGCTCCAGAGATATTTTGTGCAGTGTTAAAATACCGACACGTTGGTAATACTTGTCACAAATGTAGCACCTTCTTGGCTTGATTCAGTGACAACCTGGAACCCTGGACCCTGGACTACGCTACCCCACATAGCAACGACATTACTACACAAAGTTGACATTTCAGTGTGTTGACCAGAAAAAAAGAGGTGAACAAAAGGCCTACATGTAGCTGTTATTTTTTTTTTTTTTTACAAGTCTTTTCTCATTAATGTTGCTGCTATAAGTGACATCCACATCTGCACATAAAAAGTATATATTTGCATTTATATAATATATATCCATACTCTATTAACAGATTTGTCTACCATGAAGTTAGAACTGCAACCCATCTCTCAGAAAAGTTTTTCCTTTTTTCGTTTTGTACTTCAAACATTGATTATTTTACAACACAGAAATCAACTAATTTGTACATCATCTGAGCGAGTGAAGCTCTGCCAGGTCCCACCGTCCCTCAGTGGAATTTCTTTTGACATTATCATATTTGTGGTTTTCTTCTTGTCAGTGCAAGTTGGACAGTTTTCATCTTGGTAAAACACAGTTTAGAAAAACCAAAGCATGTACAAACTGGCTTCGTCTGAACAGAGAAGTCGTTCAGCTGAACTTGGACCCTTTTGACGCACTCCTTGATGCCCTCTTTTTAAGCCGAGGGGATGTTACTCTTGTTTGGCACAGTTATATACACAATGTGTGACAGGTCGCTTGGAGTAAGGGTTTTGCCTCAACAACAAGGAGACATTTTACGATGTTGAAATGCAAAAGCTAGCCTAGAAAAATAAAGCAAGAATGTATGCCAGATCAGTCTCTCTTCAGCTCTTCTTGGCAGCTGTACTGTCTGCAAACAGCAGGGCAGTGAAAGGAGCACCGTGACCCAACAGTTCATCTCCAGTGTTTCACAATTGGACCAAACAGATGTCTGTGGTGTGAGATTTAAGTGCAGCTATTTCATATGATCTCAGGTGAGAAGGTGAGGCTGACCCAGTGGCAAAAAATGGCCTAAACATAACACAGAAATAGTGCAATGTACAGTACACAATGCATCTCCGTCAATGTACAGTGGGACATCAAATACTATACATGGGAATTAAAAAAGTAGAAAGACATCAAACCAAAGAGAAAAGAAAAACATTCCATTCTTCCGCCCAGAGAAGGAGACACATTGCTTAAGCCCAAACTAAAGTACGAGTTAAGTACTAAATGTCCTACAGAGCTGCCTCTTGTGCTTCGTATTACTACAAGCCACGTTACTATAGCACATATATACAGTACAGGTCACCACTTTCATGTAATCTCTCTTAACCTCCAGTTCTGGAGTCCACTTTCTTCTATCACTGTCATCCTTTTGATCTCCAGAGCATTTTTCCCGATACATTCTGACTCTTTTTCCATATCTGTCTCCTTTACGTATCCTTCAGGGGTCCAAGGTCCTCCTGCCAAGCTGAGCACTCTTTAAAACACTTGATCAGAAACTTAACACATAAACAAAATGTGTAAGATTGGTAGGTGGTGTGCATGCACATGCGTGGCAGCTCTTCCCGTCGCCCCCTCTCGTGCCTTCCTCAGACGTCTCTGAAAGGAGTGTCCTGTGGTAATGTCTCCATTCTAGTGCTCCATCCTCCTCCTCCTTTGTCCTGCTATCTAAAATGCTACTCAGAAACTACAGGGGAGAGGATGAGGAGGGAGGCAAACTGTCCTCTCAGCTCTGACTCCAAACTTTAATTATCCCCATTCCCCCCATCATTCATCTTGTCCTCCTCCTCCTCCATCATTGTGTCGCTTCAGACCCAAGAGTCTGGTGAGGCTGGATAGTGGCTTGTTTCATAGTTGAGCTCACTGTAGGGTCGGGAGGCTGAGTAGAAGTCTACATAGTTTCCAGTTGACTTGAGTCCCTGTAGGTGCATGTTGAGTTCACCCTGCGGGGGGCGACCTCCTGCGTGAATCTGGCTCTCATAAAAGGCCTGGTCCTCATAGTTGCCGCTGTCGGGTGGGGGGTGATTTTGGAAGGGTGGATAGGGCTCTGCTGGTAAGCCTTGAGAAGAGACCTGGAAAGAGTTCAATCATTTATAAACAGCACAGTATAGTAACAGAAACTACAAAAGTTACATCTCTAACACCTTGGATGCTAATCACTACTGTGCTGCTCTTTTTATTGACCTCTCAAAGGCTTTAGACATTGTTGAGCATGCTACGCTACGTCAAAAGCTGCCAGATGTTAGGTTATCAGATCATACCACTATATAAGCTGGTTTTCTAATTATCTGTCAAATCGCAGACAGTGTGTGCCAACGGGTTCCACTTAGGTCCAATCTAATTTCTATTTGTTACCATCTCCTACATATAACTGATGCTCGTATACTTTTTTACACTGATAACACTGCTGTTTACAGCCACGGAAAAGCTGTTACTGGTGTGCAAAGGTGTCTGCAGTCTGACACTTTTCATTCTAACTTACTTCCTTTGAGACTAGTCACTCAGATAAACCTACAGGTCATTAGAGTTGGCTAAAGCATATAGAAACTGCACAGGACTTGACACTAAGCTGTCATTTTAATCAAATATTGAAAATTGAGATAAAACAATTTTTTTTCTTTACACATGGGACTTCCTTTTTTTTTCTGTACAAGAACAAATCTTTTTTAATGACCTCCCTGCCTCTGATTTATTACTGTTTTGTTATGTGTGTAGATGCTCCCGCAACCTCACTGCATTTGCTGGATGATGTGTATCATGAAGCAATACATTTCTTAACTGGTTATAAATCTCATACTCATCACTGCAATTTCTTTTGTCAGGTGAGCTGGCCGTCATTGTCAATCTGCTGTCTCATTCATTGGTATATTTTCATTTATAAAGCTATCCTTGGTCTGTTCCTGCATTACCTATCATACCAGTGGAAATATTAATGGATGCCGCACTTAAAAAAAACAAAAAAACACTGCCAAGATGCATAAAAGAGTATTTGCAATATGACAACATGTGAAAACATTCCAAGTGTGCAAACACGTTTGCAAGACATGGATGCATATTTAAAACCTGGATCACAATAACATGTTTTCAGACGTTCTCAAGCAAGCTTTTAACATAAATAATAAACAAAATAAAATTTTTCACACTTTTACTACCTTTTAAATAGCATTCTTTCTTATTTATATTGAATACATGAAATTTCCTCGAATCCATTGATTAATATCTTATTAAAACACAGTTCTATTGCAGTTTGTGTAAAAAAACATGCAGGGCATGAACCAAACCTCTTGACAACCTGCTTTTAAGCAGATAATTGCAAACTACACCACTGGCATACATCATATTTGAACACATTTTTATTATGTCTTGACATTTTCAGTTTGGTACCACCTGCATGAAGGAGCCTTGTCATTTGTCTACAAAAAAACTAACTTAAAAATAACTTTAAAGAGTAAACCCTTTCTGTTTAGAACCTTTTTGAGCAAACATACCTTTTTTCCTATTCTATATTGATTTATCAGGTGCTTCATTGCAAAAAAAGTTAAATCTGCCATATACTAGAATATCCATATCCTTTTTTTAATTTGGCCTTGTCACATTCTTCTACTTACGAATTTCTGCACTATAGTCTGCTCTGGTTACATACAAAGGTTTTTCGATTCAATTATTACACCTTATTATATTACATTTGTTATTTACACTTTTTCTGTGCTATTTAAAGTTAAAGAAGTGCTTATGTATTGCTATTCTTATAGCTCTTTGTAATAGTGAAATAATAGTTTTTGGGCATGATGGACACAATATTCGGCCTTATTTTAGTTACCAATTTGGTAATAAAAGCTGCTAGCAGATGGTGGTGTTGCACAACATTGCTTATGTCTGCTGACTCCTGTGCAAAAATGATGATCAGACTCAAAAAGGACCATGTAAACAATAACAGGAAAAAATAACATTCATTTGAAGATGAATGTCATGAATAGTAATAGTAGGTGATTAGGCGCCCATAACTAATTTGAAATAATTTATCATAAAATGTAAAAGTTAAAATCTTTCGAAAGAAAACTTGGCTTGATGTGTTTTGTAGGAGTAACTGACAGTTTTTTATTCCAAAAGGAAGACATTTCCTACCTGGTTATACTTTAGATCATCAGTTGGAGACACATAGGCTCCTCTATGTAGCGTCGAAGATCCACCAGAGATCTGACCTGGAGAGAGAGTGAGGAGACATTTGCTCTACATTGTTTAAAGGATAACAGGTAAGGGATCTGGGCTTTTCAAACTTGACCATTTCTGTGTTCAGTCCTGATTATTAGTTTTCATTCAGGCAACTTTAAACTAAAAAGGTTAGTGCTTCAATGATTTTCCTTTTTTTCTTTTACTTATACTTAAAGAGAGATATAATTTCTACCGTGAAAGAGAATACTACTGTCATCATTCAGAGTGTGCCATCCTTCTGATGAGTGAGGAAAGTTTGAATCCTTTCCTCATTAGTATGATCTTTAACTCACATTTTTATATGTGTGTATAAATTCAGCAAAGTAAACATTCCCTTTATTCATTTTGAATCCATATTTTCATTATATGAAAATCTACACATTTAGGTGTAATGGTTAAAGTGTTATTTTGAATTTTAAGGATTTTTTTTTTGAGACACTGTAAGAAAAATGTATTTTCCTATTATTTTTTTTTTTATTACGAAAGAGATATATACTGCATCGTCCGTTCACACATCCGGGCTGGAAGAGAGACTTTGAAAGTCCTTTGCTTTGTTCTGTAACTTTGCCTGTTTATCTGCCAGCAAACATTCATCAGAAGAGATTCTTCTGTGAAACTCCTTAGAGACTTTGTTCCCCTGTTACCAACCGGTGAACTAACCATGCCTAAACTCAGGTTACCCGAGGAACTCTTAAGGGCTAAGAGTTGAGGTACCTTGGATAGAGAGAGATAGAGGACTGAAATACTGAGTGCTTGATGAGAACCTCTAGTCCCGAACGTGATGGAAAGAAATTCCCCAATTAATCCAGACGGGTTAAATCCTTTGTAAAGCCTCCAGTCAAAGTGGGCGTGACTGGATGTTGGCAGAGTGTTCTTAAGGCTCCGTCATCCCCTTCGCCTTGGATCAGACAGTATGTCGGATTAAAGAGAGTTTTTATTTTTTTCATTTAAAGTCACATGAAAGTCTAATGAGGTCTGGATGGCAGAACTTGGGTAGTAAAATAACAAGATTGCTTAATGTTAATTCATTACTTTCATTACATCCTTTATGGTTGTTGTAAGTGGTTTTATTATATAATCACTTAGCAGTGTGTCTTTATTAGTTTGAATAATAACAGTTTTTCTCTTTGGTTCTTTTTTATAGCATTAAAAGATTTATATTTAAGTGTTCTTATCTCTAGTTGAAAATCAGACCATTAAAATTACCGTATAAAGAAAAAAAATCCTGGTTTTTAAAAATGTATAACAAGAATCATTCCCTGAGAAAGGTTAAAAACCGAACATTAGATTGAATTAAATACAGGTAGATTAAGTAATACATTAATAAGAGTGATTAATGAACTCTAAAATAACAGTTTAAAATCTCTATAGAGAATATTCTTCAGTTTTGACATGTCTTTACACAAACCCTAATTAACCCTCGTCTGCCTCCAGCTTCAGTTAGAGTAGAGATGTGAGGTCAGTGCTGATTTGCTGAACTGTTGGGGTCAAAACCATTAATCCAAAATGCTGAAGTTTTTTCCTAAACCCAGACAAACTGACAGAAGTATGATAGCTGACTTTCTTTCTAAAGCCTTTACCCCATAGGAGAACAGCGACACTGTGACAGACATTCAAGATGGATTTCCTACCCGTCATGGCGTCCTTCCGGGACGTGTGCTCGCCCTTGTTACCATGGAAACTGGCATTGCCAGTCGACTCGTAGTCTGCCTTCCTCTCCTTCAATGCCATCATCTCTCTGGGGGAAGCGGGAGCACTCGCTGCTCACAAAAAAAGATTATAGATTCACAAAAAGAATATCTTTACTCTTTATTCTAATATACATCAAGAGAAAAGAACAAAAGAAATGACAAGAGTGAATAAAACATTTTGGAAACATCTCACAATCGAAATGCCAGAAACTTGTTCCTTTTTGTAATCTTGGGCAGTTTTATTTATCTGATTCTACACTGTACTAACTCACAGAGCTCTGAGGCATCATAGCAAATAAAAAGACAGTGATACTTGCTAGTAAACCCAACAAAGATGCGTAACAAGCCTTACAATAAGTTACTGAAGCCACAAATCCCTGTGAAAAACGATAGAAAACTTTATTTGAGTGGATTTACTATTTGGGAGAACATTATGTCTGTCAGTTAATCTCAAATTAATGTAATAAAAATGTTTTATTGTTTTGCTTTATTAAATTAATACGACCTTTTAGCAGCTTCTAAGCAACAGATGCAGACAAAGGTGTGTGAAATACATTAAATAAAATTTACTTTTTGTACGATTGAGTACAAAGCAATAAGGAATCCTCTAGTTTTCTGGTTAAACAATTCAAAGTTCAACATGTCATTCAGCCTAAGAGGTTCATCAATTTCCTTTGGAAGAGGAACAGATCACAGATCTTCCACTTTCTTAACAGTGGACATGGGGTTCTTTTCTAACTTCTTCAATATGACAAAAGTCATTGAGGCACCAGAATGAGAGAAGAGGCAGAGGACCATCATCGTTTTGTATGTAGAGGACACTAAGGACACTTTCCAAGCATAACATTCTAGTGCATTTGAACCTGAATTTGGAAACACTAAAGAAGAGTTTGACAAATTCCACATGTTAACATCCATGATTGTATGACAAAAAATATAGTTCTCAGGCCCCGATCCATCTAGAGTGCATCTGATTGTTGTAAAATTGTTGGCCTTGGAAACCCAAAGTTGTTTTTCTAACTATCCAACCATCTGATTTGGAGTTTTGTTTGTCTCATTTATTAATCTGCTCACTATGTGATGGTAGATTATACTTGGATCATCTGATTCCATCCAAAGGGCTACCACAAGAAGACAGACATGTGGCAATGATGGTAATGAGAAATGACTAGAATTATGTCTATAAAACTATTAAAGGAGTAGTTTGCTAAGACATTGAGCCATCTGCTTTTTTGCCAAAGTTATTTATTTTGAATGAACTTTTTTACTATACAAAGTCCTTTAAATATATATATATATATATATATATATATATATATATATATATATATATATATATATATATATATATATATATATATATATATATATATATATATATATATATATATATATATATTAGCATTTTTTTTGTTTAAGATTTTGCTGCAGCAATAAAATACTTTTCTTAATTCTTACAAGGGACACTGACTGATTTTTCCTCTGTTTTTATGCCGTTTTCCTCTAATGTGAACAGATTTAAAACTGGGTTACTGCTAAGGCTTCATTATGCCCCTGAGTGGGTGAACCTTATTTGACCTGTTGACCAACAGGTTATTTCAGATACATAAACACTGAGTCATCTCCACCTATTTAGTTTATTGCTCCACTATATGTTACTCTGATGGGCAGCAAAGACACTGAGCCACATAGGAGAGGATCTATCAGTTCATTGCCAAGTGCTTTCCTCTAATATACACATCACTGTCACCAGCTTTGCACATAAAAGCAGCTCAGATTCTGTACCCATCATGTCTACCACTTTATGTCTTCAGCATGCATTAATATAGTAAGCATTGATCCATATGCTCAAGTATGCTCAGCAGTATCATCACTCTATTGTAGCATCAGCTAGTCGTTGTTTGTCAGTAGCTGCTGTTGAAACATTTATTTCTAAAGCTTCCTACACACAAAGGCGCACTTATATCTCTCTGTGAGCTCAGAGAACCATCTGCACCAGCTTGTATGCATCTAAGCTGAGAAACAAAACAAAAAAATGTCAAATTAGCGACTGACTCTCGATTTTGAGACTTTATTGTTTGACAGGTTCAGATATAAACTTGCAAAAATGCTCTAGATATAATACTGTGTATTAAGCCTAAATACCCAATTTTAATAGAAGTTTCCTTCCTGTTGCCTTACTGTTACTATCAAATTCCTCTTTTTTTCATTGCAAGGCATCAAACAAATTTATATCACTTTATCTTTTTCACATTTTGTTACAGTCCAATCACAAACCTGTTGAGATTTAATCACAGAATAGCACATGACTGTGGAAGTGCAAATATTTTTTCAAAAGAAAAATATGGGATGTATTTGAAATGAACCTTTGTGCTTCTCTTGCTAAAATAACAAGAGTGCTTGAAGTTAGAGATATAGTCTGATACAAACTGAAGTCCTTCCCAAGTAGAACTGGTCTATACCTTGTCTTTTTATCCAACAATCTAAACAGCAGGATTTCATTTAACATAAATAAACAGCAACGCATTGAAAATAAAATTTCTATCTCTACGCAATCTCCTGTCTATATCATACCAAATACTATCCGATGTAGCAGGCTAGACTCTCAGGATGCAGGCTATGACAAGCATATCATATCGTAACATGTGTTACTAGTGGTAAAAATGTAATTTCTGATATTGTTGATTTCCTTTTTTAAAGTAAAAATGTAATTTCAACTACTTCAGATAAATCCCCTGGATGCTTCAATAGTTTTTCTTCTTCCACTTCTATATATATCTGTTAAAAGAATACAAAAGAAACCCATTCAGTGGCTTTCAATCTATCTTCATGCGATAGATTAAAGTTGAGTTTAATCTTATATTTTCACAAAATTTTTATTGGAATAAAGCATTGTTTTATTTCTTTTCATACAGGGTACTAACTGTCAATACACCCATCTGTGCTTCCTCGCTCTCCCTTTGTGTCAGTTAATCATTCTCCATGTAAATAAACAAACAAATGCCATAGATGATCTTTTCATAAGTTATAACTGCAGTTATTTCAATTCTCATATATGTTTTGGCTGATAATTCGATAGCTGTTGCCCTTTAGTTTTCAATAAAAGATGCAGTAACATGAACCCTGCGTAGTGTTTGTGTTGTTCTCACCATCGCCTTAAGGCGGTTTAATCTTAGAAGAAAACAATGGTTGAAATTAAAAATCTAAATCTTGCATTTTTGTATTGGTTTTAAGACAAGAAAACATGACAAAGAGAATGAACCTCTCAAGATGTGCTATAAATGGAAATTTATAATCCCATGTAAGGTAAATATTTTATATGATGGTCTCCTCAGAAATATGTGAAACACATTGTACTGCTTAAATAACATCAAGACTAAACCTTTTTGCATCCATGCAGAGAAAAAAAGGGACGTCTATTTTTTACTTAGTCAAAATGTACCATACTACTAAAGACTTTTACTTGGAACTGTAGCAAAAAGTGTCAACACAGAGAGACTGCATACTAAAAACGAATCACATGCTCATCATTTCCATTTCAAATCAAATCAAATACATTGGCTGTGTCCGAATGTTTGCCCTGATCACTATATAGGGCACCATATAGTGTTTACGCCATTTCAGATTAGTTTTCAACAGTCTAGTGAATGAAAAAGTAGTGGAATCCAAATTTCCCACAAGTCAACTTGAAAAGTAGGTATCATCCATGGTCACTAGACGAGGAGATATGTCCTAAAATTATGGGATTTGTTGTCACAGCAGCCTGATGTTACCATAGGCTGTCATTACCTGATAGCGGCTACAAATGACAAAGAGGGCTGCATGCATCATGTGGGGAGCGGAGACACGTTACCAACAGGGAGAGAAAAGTAGTGATCCTCTGTATGAACAGTCAGTTAACTGAGTTCACTATAAAGTCCACTATATAGTCCCTGCTCTATTTAGTGATTGTGACGCCTTTAGTTTTTGTCATAAAGAAGATCTTAACCAGAAACTAAGGAAAGAAATCTTTAGACAACACTTTAAACACGTGTGAATTTTTGCTGCTTTGGTTTCACAGCAGTCGTCAGTGTGTCAGCCACCCCTGCAGTCTGAAAAGACTGAAAAGATCAAAGATGATGAACATTGTCAGGAGCTGTGATCATCATCATCATCAGTCCAGGTTCTGTAAGACTTTGGTGCCTCATATTATTCAAAAAACCTTTCCTCTGACAACACAAGGGCGGGAAAACTTTCTTAATGTGCATTAAGCACATATTTTACTTGACAGTGGAGTAATATGTCAGCAGTCGCTGTACTGTGAAGGTTAAAGAAGACTTGAGATATAATGGAGCAGTGCTTCTTTGACTGGACTCTACTGGTGGGAAGAAGGATGGGGCTTTTACGGTAGGATAGGAATGAACGGGAGGCGGGGACCCACCTGATCGATTGTTTGGGGAAGTGCGCACCGGAGAGATTGAAGGAGTGCGAGAGGAAGAGTAAGGTCGCTGTCTGTCTCGCTCTATTGTTGAGGACGAGCCCACAAAATGGTACTGTGAATAGCCATCCTGAAAGAAAGACGAGAAGGCAGACTTGCAGTTTTATTTTCAGCGTTCGGTCTATTAATAATCATCATGAAAAACATGTGTGATGTTTGAGTGGAAGGCATCCAGAGCCAACAGGCTGTACCTTTTTGTAAAGACTGCGGAGGTCTCTGTACTGCCACATGCTGTTGAGGACTTGGGACGCTGCTTTAACCACTTTGGGACTATGTCTGGGAATTCAGCAGAAAGCAAAAACACAATGTAAAGCTTGACTATCCTTTTGTTGTTTTGTGCACGAAAAAGTTAGAGGGTTACAGAAACAAAACACCACCACAATAAACAAATGCAAAAACAAAAGGCGGCCCTCTAAATCATCATTTGTTTCAAACACCAACAAGGAAATGTTTATCTTCTTAGCTGTGTCCTTAAATTGAACCGAGCCCAGACAGCATGATTGCTCTTTATGATGGATTAATTGGGAAACATTTCAATCTTCTTCCTCCAGGTTCTCACTCAGCTGTCTAATGACTTTGGGTTTAATTGGCTCATGTGACATTATCAGGGACAGCAAAATTAAACTTCATTTCTCCAAGACATTCGGTTAGTTTTATTGTTTCGAATTCAGGGAGATAAACCCTATACCAGATGTAAAAACTAGCAAATCAAATTTATGTTTCTTGTGTGACTTTAAAGCAATTTTTGTTTTCTAGGGATATAAACTAAAACGAATGTTTTATAGTTTGACATTTTCATTCTATTTTAAAGGCCTTTATAGTTATGGTAGATTCTTTTGAGGTTTTACCTCTTTTTACATATTATTTCTCTTGAAATAATACATAAATCAGTTGACGACCAACTGATGGTGGTCATAGGGACTGGTGGCGCCTGTGTATGGTAGCCAAACTTCTGTTACTGAGTGCCAAGGCAGCTGTGGCTACTATGTAGCTTGCCACCATTGGTGTGAGAGTGAATGGGTGAATGACTGAATGTAGTGTAAAGCGCCTCCATCAAGCCTCTTGACCAAGGCCTCCAATGCCAATATAAGGAACATACTAGTAATGCCCTATAAATGCCATAATTATGCTATATAAAAACATTTTAACTTTGTTTGTATTTATAAGCAATACCGATGAAAATTTTAAAAACTCCTAAAAAAATCCCTAAATATTCAAAATGAACCCTTTTTAGCTTCAACAATTTGTCTATCATGTTTTCAGGCACCTTATTTAATGTTTTTGATCCAAATAAGTTTTTTGACATCAAACATTATTAGTATTTATAATTATCATTTAATTGTTAACATTTGGCGGACCACAACCACATGACATTTATTGGGGTTCATTAATACCATCTTCTGAAGGGGTGTACAAAGTTTGGGTGGCACTTGTGGAGATAAAGCTGATAGCTTAAAGAAACATTTTTTTTTTAGTGCATAATCTAATAATATAATTTGTGAAATGTAACAAATGTTTATCAAACTTTTTAAGAAATATAATTATAATGTATTCTGTAAGCTGATTTTAACAGATTTTTTTGAAGTAAAGGGTCGACTGCACATATTTGTGCATAAGCTTCTCCCACTTTGGTCAATCATTAGGGTATTGATGACAGTCTGCACAAGCATGTTCCATTTAAACGAACAGGAAAACTCAACTACAACATCCACTTACAGAAATTCTAAGATTGTTTGAACTTAAAAATCAAATGAAAATGAACTAAAATGCACAGTGACATAAAAATAGCTCGTTTATTTTGCCAAAAAAGGGTGATTTAGGGTGAGATAAACATAAGTTCTGCATTACCCTGCACACCCTGTCATCTGGTTTGTTTTTTTCACCCAACAACACCTTCCCATTTGGCTTACTTATCTCCCTTGCTGCGGGCGATGCCGATGAGCTTTTCGATGCCGCCAGCGTCCCTCAGGGCTTTGGTATTCTCCATGTTCTTTGTTATGACCTCATGCAAAGCACAACAAATTGCAGTGATGGTGTCGTCTGACATGGTCTTCCCTGCCAGGACGCTGCTGTTGGTGCTCCCTCCTCCTCCTCCTCCACTGCTGGTGTTGTTGTTGTTGCTGCCTCCAGGTAAACGATGCACCAAGTCCCTCATGGCATATTTGCCTGGTTAAAGGTGACCGGGTGGACAAGGTTAAGTGGCAAACTGAATATAAGCTGTTTAAGGTTAAAAGGAAAACTAAAAAAGATATGAAACAAACATTCTTAAATATTAGAAGAACTCAAGGCAGAGCTGCAGGAATCATAGTTTTGAAATTAAATTTTTTTTTTTACAAATCCACCTGGAAAGTGTTCTTGCTTCAAGCCTAGATAAGTCTGAGGTGAAACTTTGAAATTTATAATGAAAGAACAAGACCTCAGGTTAAAACTTTTAAAGGGCCCTCAAAAATCTGTTTCGGGGAAAAAAAAAACCATTCATCTTTAAAAAAGCCGACGGAAAAGCTTTTATGAGGTCAAAGTAAGGCTACCATTATTTAATGTAACATCGACAAATATTTAATATATATATAGATATACTAATAGTGGAAAGAAAAAGTGTATGTATGCCTAAAATATCTTTCTACATATATGAAAAAAACAACATACAAAAAAGAAAAATACTGACACCCAGCTGATGAGAAGACATTACATGACCAAAAGTGACTGGCTTTAAAACAATAAAGTAAGATTTTAACAAAGTTTTGCTGAAAATTATAATTGCCATAAAGTCAGGAATTTATAATTAATTAAGAACGCACCAGCGTCGCCTTTATCATTCCATAAGGTACGGGTTGTATGATTTCTCTAAGAGATGACTGAATACAGCCCAGGCTCTAGGGCTGCTGTATGGAAGTCAGATTCAATTCATTAGTAAAAGGCATTTCTCATGTTTGTTGGGAAACATCTGAAGTGGGGTCCTTCCTGTTTTAACATTACTGCCACCAGTGCGCTTAAAGACATGAATTTGCAAGTTTAGAGCTGACAAACTAGCCTAAGTCCAACAGAACACTTCTTGAATGAATTAGAACTGATACTCTGAACCAAGGCTTCTCACCTACCATTGGTGTCGGACCTCACAAATGCTTTTCTAGAAGAATGGCCTAAAATTCCCTCAAAAACAAAAACAAAACCACTTTTCTGAACTGTGTGTTTAAAGAACTAAAGCTGTAGCTGCAAATAATTGCATGGCTTAATGACCCCAAAATGTTAACAAAAGGATTTAATTTTTAGTCAGGCAGACAAATAATTTGGACATAAGAGTATTTCTTTTAACCTCAAAATCAAGAAAAAAACAAACAAACTTGCATTAAAACCAAATTGCATAAAAGCAGATCTACACTCTTGCTGGTTAGGCTGTCATACACAAAAGGGGAGTGGCGGTCTAGTGGTTAGGGCATTGAACTAGGTTGTGAATGCGATCCCCCACTCCCACAGACTGTCACTCTGGGTCCCTGAGCAAGACCCTTAACCCCACACTTCTCCCCGGGCGCCGCACAATGGCAGCCCACTGCTCCCCAAGGGGATGGGTTAAATGCAGATAAATAATTTCCCTCTGGGATTATTAGAGTATATATATAGGCCTATATATATATAAAAAAAAAAAAAAAAAAAAAAAGGGGGACATGGCCACATGCTCTGACACAGATGGACTACATCTCCCATGACACCCAAGAAATCCTGTCAGGCTTTTGTAGACATTCTGCTCTGCGGCTCTCATTCTGATTGGGTCATCACCCTAGGTGGGTGTTGAGAGGAATGGTCCTATTGAGGCCTAGTAGGCTCACTTCTAAATTGTATGGTTTTTTTGATGGGTCCTACAGTACAGCTGCCTCTGTCTGCAATATTCCCACTTCTATAACCAAGCAGGCACTGAAGGTGAAGCTCTTAATCACGTTTGTATTACTGAAGTAATAAACAACAGTTGGCTTACAGCAGAGCTGCCAGTGCTGACAGTATTGATATTTGCAGCTGAGAGCTCTGTGATTCTGACCACACAATATGTTGTGCAGCAAAAGCAATTTTATTCTGTTCCAACTAAGGGGAGGATAATATGTTCCCTGAAAACATAGCTGCATGCACCGGGCCATCACAAAGGAAAATTTGACATTACAGCCTACATCCGCTGAGGACACGGATGGTCGCTTTCACGAACTAAGACATCACACAGTTTAGCTCAAAGCCAAAAGCACCGAAAAGAGTAAATAGAAAGAGGCATGTGGTTGTTGCCATGGGGACCAGCAGAGAAGCAGAGTTTATTAAAGACATCAGTCAGTCTCCAGCTAAAAAAAAAAAAAAGAAAAATCTAGTATCAGGTGTTCAGTCTTGGCAGCTCTACGTTCTGTTTAAAGACAGGAGCTTTGTGCAAACGGAGGGATGAATATTCCGAATGCTTTCCATTTCCATTCTTTGGATTTGATATTAATGTGGGAAAATATTACAGTCAAAAATTTCCTCCACAAGCTATAATCAAATTGAGCTGGCAAAATCTTACTGCTACACTAATTGTCTTCATTCATATCCTGTTTTAGATTAGGGCAAAATTAAACTCTCTTTGTAGAAATAAAATGGGACATTTTGGAATAACTTTACCTACATATAGGAAGGTAAAACATTTAATGAACAATACTATATTTATACAATTTGCTCTTTCCATAAGATTATAAAAAAAAAAAAATAAATATTCAAGAGGTGCAACCACACTTCCAGCTCATGAAAGACATTAACGGGACACAAGATATCAGATTCTTTAGAAATAGGCAAACACAGACTTTAGCCTTATCTGAGATTAAGCTGGACATATTTGTTTCTACAAATAGGATTGCTTAAGTAAAGATGTCATATTGAGCCTATAATAATTTGCTAATTTTACCTGACCAGATAAAATTCCCCTTTGATACCAATTGCTTCATGGAAATGCAATAAATATTACAGATTACTTACATATTTTCTTCAGATTCTCAATAAAAAATTTTTACGATTTGAGACTTCTGAGTCTGTGTTTGAAGCACTTACCAATAAGCTCCTTGTTCCGTATGTCCAGAGCCATGTTTCTCAGGGCAGTAGCTACAGCACAGACCACCCGGTCATTGTCTATCCTCAGTAACTCCACCAGGATAGGTAGACCTTTTTCTTTGCGCACTGCAGCTCGGATGTAGACGGACCACTGGACAAAAGAGTGAGAAAATTTATAGAACAAATGTTGGACACAGACAGACCATTTGCTGATATCTGGAAATATTTCTGCCTGTTATTATTATTATTGTTATTATAAAAATCCTTTTACTTATAAAAAGTCAAATCATCATTACTTAATTTGTCTTATAAGTTTTGACAAAGGTGCTTCAGATCTAATTCATCTTTCCATTTAAAAATATGCTGGATTGTTGAAGAATAGTGTCCTTTTTCTTCTGCCAGATTCTGTCCTGTATGACAATGACACAGCCGCTGAGCTCTCACCTTCCAGCTGCCGGCGGCTAGGTTCTGCAGAGCCCCAGCTGCTCCCTCCAGGGTGTCTGGGTTGGAGCACTCCGACAGCAGTGTGAGGTAGGGCTTGACAATAGTGGGGTGCCACAACATCTGGATGCCTTTCGGAGGCTCAGCCAAGTCTGGAAAAGGGCCGACACCATCCCACTGTAGAAGATAAGGCATGCCTTAGAATGGAGGAGCATTTTGAATTTTGTATGAGGAGAAATTTGTGGGCCAGCAGGGCTCCCATGGGCAAAGGCAACAAAGGAGGAGGAGTGGATGTTAAAAGAGTCTAAAAAATTAGGTGACATTCATCTGCTGCCCAAACTGGGTGTTTAGAAGCAGCAATAATGTACTGATGTTCAGAAAATGTTGACTAAAATCACATCAGGTGTCTGAAAAAAAAAAAAAAACAATTCCTGCATAAGACAACCAAAACGTCTGCATACACTAAACTGATTAACTATAAGTGCATTAACACTTATAAGTTACAGGTAGATTGATGAACAGATACTGCTGTTGCAAAGGCTGGTTATACTCCTACAGCAGTGTGTCGCAGTGAGATTTATGCCCAATGTTGAAACGTGGTCTGCGCTATGTTATTCCACGCCACAAAGCAAGAGGGACAATCAGGAACTAGCTGAGGGTCTAGATACGGCCATGGCAGTGAGGAAGTGGAAAAATGCAAGGGGCACGTCAACGGAGGGACATGAGGGTGAAAAAAAGGGGGATCCACACAGAAAAAGGGTCCCAGCATTCTTGCACACCTCTCTCTTCTAGCGGGTCCATCTTCAAGAGTCGTTTTCCACAGTGGCGGTCATACAAACAAAACAAGCCGGTAAGGTACCAAACAGGAGACGCATAGAGTACAGCGGATGTAGATTTGACCAATCAGATGTTTCCTGTCTGCGGCACTGTCTGGGGTCACCTACAATTTTGGTGCAGCAGAGTGTCTGCAGCAGGAGCGGGGGCACATTTACGTTCACAGTGACACACACACAGTCGAACTGGTTTCTGATTATAAATCAGCATTTACTCTAAATACAGCTACCTCAGAAGGTATTTTTTATTTTAGACCTTTTACTAGCCTTACACAAGTAAAAACATTTATTTCAATGCATAGTAGCTCTAACTCAGTTAGAAAATATGGTTAGTGTCTGAGTATAATGTTGAATACCACAGATTCCCAAATGTATTCAGGTATGAGCTTTGGCTGAGCTATTCTAATAGACGAATATTATTTGATCTAAAGAATGTTTAAGTTTGTTGTCCTGCTAGAAGGTGAACCTCTGCCCCAGTCTCATGCTTGGGGACTAAATCTAACAGGTTTTCAGCTGCCCTTAATTCAGCTCAATCTTCCCAACAGCTCTGAATCCCACAGCATGATGCTGCCACTAACATTGGTAAGTTGAAAATGTAGCTTTCTATTGCCCTATGACACCACCTTTGAGCTTCCAGCATTATTTGTTAAAAATAAAAAAAGTATAATTAACCCTCTATTACACTAGTATAAATTACTTTATGTTGGTCTGTGCTTGTCTAATATACCAACATTCTGCAAATATTACTTAATGACAGAGTTGTCTAAAGTGATGAAACACATTGTTAATGTTACTCACGTTTATCAAGATGATGTAGCTTCAACTGTGAAATAAGCATCAATCAGACAAAATCTGAGTGACAAGATGCTGGTTTTTCATTTTAGTGCTGGTAGTTTTATTTTTAATTAATTTCTTAGGGGGTATTATTTATTTAAGTTTAATATCTGCTTATACTATTTCCAAATGAGTGATATATGTGATAACATCTGTTACTGAATGTAAGTCTGCCAAACACTGCTGTCCATCTTTGCTGCTCCTCGTGTGTTTAATCTGATTATGCTACAACACCCTCTTTATCGTCTCCTATCTCCTCCTTTTCTACTTCCTCTCCCTTCCTCTGCTCTAATTGCCCCGCTGTTGATGGAGTTTTGTGCTCCTCGGCACACTCCCTAATCGCTGCTTCTTGGTAATCGCCCACAGCTGCACTAAAGTGGAGACACACAGACAGAGGGTAGAAAGTGAAGCTTTTTTTTCATATTTTATGATCTGTCTCTATTTCAATATGATCAATAGGTCCACCATCTCCACAAAGGCAGACGTTTGCTTGGAGTAAATTCTGCAAACAGAAGGTAAGGCAAAGGCCGATATTAAAATATAGTCCAAACTTGTTTTCATAAATCAATCCCTGCCAGATTCCGAAATGATAGACAGAGGGATGCATGCAGGGAGGATGAGCAATTCACACTCCGGAAGTGGTGGGTTTTCAGTCCCCACAGCTACCCTGGAAGTGGTAAAAGACGTCCTCCACTCAATCAGAATGATGCTGATTGCTCATTAGCATGACAAGAGGGTAGAGCTCACAAATCTCTGGTTCTACCTCTCAGCTACGTGGAGGATAAAACTAAAAGAATCCAGAGAGATATGGGCCATCAGCTTTCTAAAAACAAATCAGAGCACAGGTACTGAGCACACAAAACTAAAATGCAGTGTGATTGCATACAGTGCCTTACACAAATAAGCATACTCATGAAATAAGCTCAGACTCGCTTGTGCCTGATTGTGGAAAGAAATTGATTGATTGTCTTTGTTGATCTCACAGTGGATACATTTACTCATTCCATCAGCTCAAATAGTCAAAGAAGAAGAATGTGCCAAAAGAAGAAAAAGGTGCATGGGATATATACAGTAAACACAGTCCGTCCACATGTGACATTTTTTTTTTTAGTATAATTACTATAAAAACTTATTTCACATGGTGTTAAATTGGTATTTATAAAGATGGATATTTATATTTATATATAAATATTGCAGTGGATGTCAAATATAGACAAACAGGGTACCAAATAGTAAACTGCACTTTATCCATTGCCCAAGTTATTGCTATTATAGTGTCGCATTGTAGTCTGAAATCTGAGATGTAGTTCTCATAATATTTTCACATATTTGTGACCTCTTTTTTTGGATGTGCCTAAAAAAAATTAGTGTCTTTAAATGTCAACCCATAATTAGAATATAAATAAATTAGAGATATAAAATATGAATATATATATACCAGATACAACAGCAGAAAGGTCATGGATATAATCGGTTAGATTAAAAACAAGCTTCAAATATCTTACATAGCTCCAACAAGAAGGCAAAAAGAGTGAGATATAATTTTACTGGACTAAACATATAGTAAATTCCAGAAGAGGTCAAGAGGCCAGCGGTAACTGATAAGACTGAAGGGATTCACTAGCCTGGGTGCCATTCCGAACTTAGTCCCGCCCACAACGTTTGAGTTCGGGAAGTTCGGTCTGGCATTGTTCAATATTAGTGCGAGTATGCTGGCACAAAATCTGGCGGGCCAATCAAATTGTTAGGGCGGGCTTTATTCGACAGATGATCAACAGTAACGTAATCAACCACGTCACCAAAGCTCGCTTGGGTGACAACAACAATGGCTGCCGCTGGAGAGTTCAGGTGTGTAGATTCTGCTATTAGGTCTGTTCTAGAAGATATCGACAGCAAATAAATTTTAAAAGAGGAACAGAGAAACGCGATCAAGGCTCATCTTCTTATTCTAGGCATGCAACTGCACGCTTTGATTTTTATTGACAACAACTATGCGTCTCTTAACATGCACTCTGTTGCTCTTATTGGTTGTAGGTCTATCCAATTGAGTGCAGAGGCATTTTTTTTCCTGGTTCGTTTTAAACACACCCCATAATCACAGCTCTATGGAGCAGTATCAGACTCATATTCTGACTAGAATTGAGTAGGACTACGTCAGGCTAGGGATTCACATCTGAGATAAGAGAATCGGTTGACAGGACACCTTTCTCTGTCATGCCATTCACACATCTGGTTGGCATAAGTGAAGAAATACTTAAGAAGTCTGTTTAAAGTTTTAGTTTTTAAAAGCTCTATGACATTCTAAAAGTGCCAAACTATAGAATTACATCTATGTAGAAAATAGAACACAAACCTCAATTTTTTGTAAAAACGCTACATAGGTATAGTAGTTTAGTAGTTTTAAATGATGAGAAGAATGGGTACTGGAAGCAGCATCATTTTACAATAAATTATTCACAGCATTAAGTAAAACTCTGTTTATAACAGCCAAACAACAAGAATCATTTATGGACTGAACAGATACTTCTGAGACGGCACAGAACGCTGTTATAAACTGAGTTATTTAGGGAAATTTCCACACACAGCAACTACTGTACAGGATAAATCCCAGTTTGCAATAAACATAATAAAATCTTAATGGCCTTAAAGGGCAGAAAAGAACATTAATGTGTCATTAAAAAGTTGGTTTTAATTAATATTTTGTGATATTTAATGTTAATGTGAAACAAGAGGGGAAAAATTATGTAAGAAAGAAAAATCAAGGACGGAGAGAAAACGGGGGGCAATAAAAACGTTTGCCTTAAAGAAAAAAACGTGTTGTTTGAAACACTCTTTTTACATTCTTATTGATAATTTTTATCTTGTTTCAGTTAATAGTTATCCTTCAAAATATGCTCTAAAATGCATTTTGGTTTGAGTCCTATCAATGAAATGTTTGTTCCCACCTAAAGACGTATCTTCCTCCTTTAGTTTCCTCAGCAGGATCGCTGGTCCTGATGCCCTGTCTAAACTGTTTCTACACACAGACACTCAGAGGAGACCTTTCTAAAGTCTGCGCAGGTAGCCACAACATCCCCATTTGTTTCAGTCTGACTTTATTTTAAGATGTCAGTAATCCCTTTGTTAGTGGTGCACAAACAGGAGGAATGCCACACATGAGGAGAAGGGATCTCAAAACTCATTACATATCTTAAACGTTCAGTTTGTTATTTAGAAAAACCATTGACTGAAAGATGTGATGACTGTTTATTCTCGCTGTGTGTTATTACATCGTTAAGCTTGTATATAAGGTGAACTCCATTTGAACTTAGAAGTTGAAACAGTTGAGCTGTACATCTGATCAATGAAACTGAACACCCCCTAAGAACCAGATGCCCAGGCTAAGCCTGGGTTCTATTGCATAATTAATGCTAATATAAATGCTTAAATGTAGTGAAAGTTGCAGAATTTCCTCTTTTAGGAGCTTCAATTTTATTTTATGGACTGGCACAGATAGCACAACTCCAGCTCAACTTTAGAGTTTTTTGCTATTAAATGCATAAAATACAGTGAAATGTCTTGCTATTAACTTGTATTAGTAATAGTGAGCACGGTGGTCAATCCAACTGCTTTTCTGCCTTGGATTAACAATGTACTTTTCTCCGGTATGACTCCTCTGCTAGATCAGAGCCCTGACTTCAGAGACAGATAGGACACAGATCCTTCACAGATAAAAATCTGCCTTACGGTGCTGTGAGGATAATAGGCTCATTCTTTTCTTATTTGTAAAAAACAACACAAGGAAACACTTAAAACTAAAGCTAAAAATGGAAAAAGCTAAATTAAAAAGTTCAGTTCTTTTAAAGCCAGTCGGTTAAATTCATACAAATTTGTATAAATTGAATAAATTCAACCGGAAGAAGTGCAGTTTGCGTATAAATTGTTAATATTTATATTTCATATATTGCTGGATTATAGAAGTTTTTACCTTGACTTTTTACAATAAAAAAAACAAAAAAACCTTGGCTACTGTTCGCCTCCTCTTTGCATTGCTATCACTATTCTTCAGGGTCTGTGTGTTTGGAGCTGGTGATGCTGATGTTGACCTTGCCTCTTAGACTAGAGTAGCAATCAGTGGTTGAAAGCATGAAGCCTGGTCACCTTCACGCTTATAGTCTGTCATGTATGTTTGATCACTGTGCAAATAATACGCTGCCCTTGGGTTGTTAGAAGATAAGATACATCCATGTAATTTATTGAGTAATCCCATGCTTAATGGAGCTGGGTCATAGTGGTCATAGCTGGTTGTTTGCTTCTGTGCTAATACAGTTAAATATCAAGTTATGATCTCCACCATTATTTTCTCCTTCGCTGCAGCTCTGTCCCTTTTAATCCTGCATGTGGACAAAGTGACTCCCTCTGCTACAAATACTCCAACACTTTTTAGTTTCTTTTCAAATGTATAGAAAAAGATGAAAAATCGACCGAGTACTTAAACATACGGGTAAGAGACATACACTCATTACCAGTGTGAATGTCATTAATTTAATTTCTTTTTAACCATTTCTTTCTGTGGTGGAAGGATTATACAACTCTCTGCTTTACTGACTTATAAATAAAAATGAATCAAAGCACACATAATGATTTTTGGGAAGGCATCAATCTCTGCCAAACTACTAAGCAACGGACAAGGTGCTACAGTTGGCTTAGTGACAGATTAGATACAATTTTAGATTACCACATCTGATAAAAAGAGTAGGGAATATAATCCAAAGAACTTTATTGATGTCTGTATGAGTGGCGTAAAAGGGGCGGGGCTTTCCCTTAATAATTTTGACTGTATGAAAGAGAACCAACAGCATATTCCCACTTGAGAACCTACTTCTTATTGGAAAAGCATCAAAGTTGTATATAGTATAATCATTCAGATAGATTAAAGATCAAAATATTTACATATGCACCTATATATTGCCAGTGAGATCATATGTAAAGCTCTGATCTATAGTGTTTCTACCTGTTATGGGAAATGTCTCAAGGATCATACACAGTCTTGGTTAATTGACCTTATTGACCTTTACCTTCTGTCTTTGCTTTAAAGGTGGAGTCATTTGTTTGAGGTCTTTATAATCTCCTGAGTTGAAATCATGGTGCCAAAATAAAGGGTACAAAATATCAGGTTTAGTCCAAACCCTTTTTAAAAAAAGCATAAACAGTATGAAATCATGAATATGTCAAGAAGAACCTGAAGGCTGGTTATGAATAAATAAATGCATGAGTGAAAAGACGCAGCATATTATCCGGTAGAGACCAAACACTAATCATGAGCTGCACTCAATTGAAAAGGAGAGAAATCTGCCTTAAAAAAATAACAATTAACAAAATAAAGTTTCTAGTTAGTATAAATAAGTAATGATTCTGCTTATTTCCTCACCTGATCGTGCCCCTTCTTTTTCTTCTTCTTCTTTCCCCAACACCCAGAACTCTCTGCGTCCTTGCCACCGGTGTCGCACAACAAGCCATCCAGCTCCTCAGAGCCACCCTGCTGGTTGTGCGACGTCTCTGCAGCCAGACGGTACGACAAGTTCCTCAGGATGCACACGCAGTTCTCCACAGTCTGAAGGAGAAAAGGTTAGACGGGGAAAGTAAGGACGAGACAGAGATTTAAATAAAAGGCACTGAAAAACAGTGTGAGCCCTGCAGCAGAGACACTGTGTGCAGTGTGGCCTATGGGCATAATGTATGCAGACACCTAAACTAATCCTATTGTTGAGAGAGGATAAACAGTCAACAGTCACTGACTTTGATGTTTAGAGGATAAAAAAAATGATTTCCTTCAAAGAATCTTTTGCTCTCCAGAGAAAAGCATCCCCTCAGAATCCAAACAATAATTCAAAAATAACAGTGACTCATCAAACACACGGAGACAAAATTACTTTCATAAAAATGCTCTACATAGATGCAGAACTGATGACATTTCCGTGGCACCAACAATTTACATCTTTAAAGCAGATATGTCAAAGTCATGTAATTTATCAGGCTCTCAAGAGCCCAAACAAAAAACAACATATCAGGTCATAAACTAGAGGAAAATGCTGTTTTAAAGTGGACCAATCAGCTAAAACTGCAAAATAAATGAGAATAAAGTTATAACATTAGCACAGCGTGTTTGTTGTAAATGATATAGTTGAATTTAAAGTTTCATGTTTTATAGAGCTGCTTTTGACCTAAACATCTAATAATGCTGAAATGGCCTGATTTATATTCGAATTACATTTGCATTTATATTCAAAACATATGTAACCAATTTAGTCATGTAAACAGACTGAAATTAAACTAAATACATTCTAATTTGGTTCAATTTTGTTCATCATGACAATTGGATTCAAGCTAATTTTGCACAGTTTCTGTCTTAGTTAAATAACACGTTGCTGTCATTTTGCACATCTCTGATGTTGTTGTTATTTTAAAAAAATCCAGCAAATCCAGAAAATTGCACTGTGACTGACTTTGCAGAAATCCGTTATACTGTGCAGGCACAGTGGAAGGAAAACACTCTTACTTAAATAAAGAAATATCAAACAGAACTAAATTCAGTTAAGAGGCCATCTGCTGTAGTTCGAGGGCGTTAAGGGGGGGATTGTCTCCTGTAATACCTGAAACCTGTCTATGAATTGAGAGAATTAAGAAAGCTTCCTGGAGAGGTGGCGAAATGTCTTCAAATCTTGGAAACCAAGTCCAGTGGACATTTTTTGAACTTTTACGGAATGACTATGAGCTGGATGACAGAATCTTCATCAGCATACTGCATACACAGCATTTTGCACATAGTCTAAAAAAACAAGATTTTTTTCTTGCTCATCTTCTATAAGGGACATTTTTGTGAAGAAAACTTTTGCAAAGTGCTGTTTCTCGCTCATATTTATGAATGTATTATATCACTGCATGAGAGTGATGCACACAATGCTGATGCACAAGCACATAGTACCCTACTGATGCAGTATTTAATTAGGTTATTAGTAGCATTTATAGTGTAGTGTGTTATATGTGTTATTTTTTTTTTTACCTTGCTGTCTATCTCACTGCTCCCCAGAGCGGTCTGGATGACGTAAAGCAGAGCATCGGTGAGGCCCTCACACTCCCTCATCCTCCTCCGAGCTTCCTCCCCAGCAGAACTCACATTCCTGTTTCACACAGATACCAACACATAACTTCACACACAAGTTCAGTTTTTCTTCTCATGACATTTTACAAACAAGAAGGAAAAGCTCTAAGTAAAAAAAAAAACTTAATTTTCAGATGTTCCGTGGGTGAAGACAACCCCTAGAGAAATCTTAGTTTTTCCATTTAATAGGTTCTGCAAGTTGAACTCGGTGGAATCAGGGATACAGCTGTCAACTTCCTACATAATTTGCTTCAAAGTAGAATCGGCAGTTTGTTTGTATCCATAGAGTTGATGGGTAAATGAATACAAAAAGCTGTCAAGCTTGGATGATGAGCACAGCAAACAGGTCGGAAAACATTAGACCTACCTGCTGTTCAGCAGGAAGCAGGATAATTAGCCTTATAGGGATTAAATCGAACCCCCTGATAAGGATATGGAGCAGGATAACTAATGAAATATTTGAATTTAAAACACACAAAGTCAAAGTTTCTACATGTTTTTAATATAAAATGAGCAACTTTTTTAAAATAATATATTAAGACCATGGATCAATGAATGGGTAGATGGATGATATCCATCAATAATCACAGATGTATGAGGAATCTGAAAGGTTTGACATGAAACCTAGTACGAAGCATAAAAGTGTTGTATTATTCTGTTCAGGTATGGAAGCATCTTTTCATTCTGACAGCCTCAGTTATTTTCCACAGTCAAATAACTTCCTCAAAAATGGAGGTTGTGGTAAATTGTTCCGTTCTGAGTCTGCATCCCCTCTGGCTGTTTTTTGCTTCAAATTGTGATGCAAGTTCACTGGATAACAAACACACACACACACACACTTTGCAGGACACTGATAGAAAGCTGTAAACCTCTGTTCAGTGAACAGCATGACAAAACCAGAATAAACAGGGACTTTAATAACCAAATCATAACAAACAGAATCTACCTTTAACTGGCATTGAGTAAATTAGTTCTCTACTTTCTCTCCTATCTATTAATAGGCTGAATTTAATTACCCCCAGTCGGTTAGAGGTAATGAATTCCAATGGAGAGATTCCTTTCCAAAGCAGCCAAGCTGCAGATAATCTCTCATTATTTGATCTTCAGGCATAAAGGATCGAAATAACAAGGCGTATAAGAAATTACACTGTACAGATAATACTGTTGCTAAAAGTGAGGGTTTTTTTTCACAGCAGTTCTGATTTAACTCCTAATGTACGGCTGCAAAAGCAAAGAAAACACAAAAGAAGTATGTCTGAGTGACTAATCTACAGTGCCTTACAAAATGGATTCTTAACAAGGTTAGATTTGAGTAAAATAGTTTTTTACAATTGGCAGTGCTGCGTTGTCCTTTTGGTAAATGGTTGTACAGACTTAAAAAAGAATGCATGTAGTACTTTCTGGGGTCTGTTTGCCCTCTTATTCCATAAAAATTAAAGTTCCTCTTGGCAGTGTTCTGAAAAAAAAAATGCTGCCATATTTTGATTTCAGGGTTGAAAAGTGTGAATATAATGGTGAGTACCACTGATGATTCAGAGCTGCCATGGCTAGCCTTTGTAATGGTAGATTTCTCATTGTAATGCCAGAAAAGGACCTCTTACTTACCTAAATCAACATGTGTGTAATTTAAGATTTTCTTTGAAAGCTCTAAATAATATATAAGCAACAATAATACACATTTTAGGTATATTCTTACTAAAAATTTTAGGAGGGATGAAAAAATTATGAATATTTTCATCAGTATCCATGGAGAATATGAATATTTTAAAAGCAATATGTTGACTATTTGTGCTACATTTTCATTGTTCATTTTAATTGGAAATGTTTTTTATACTCCAGTAAGATTCAAGAGTCTCGTCTTCTATTATAATGTATATGGAGGCTGAAACATTTGAAAGATACCGGTCTCATGCAGTGATTCCTAACCTTTTACAGAAGCCACCTTTCTGACACCAATTACGATCCTCCACTCTCTCAATACCCCCCTCCTTTATCATAATTAATTCCAGTTACTCTTCTGTGTATGCACACACATGCAATCTCACACCCACCATAATTATTGATGCATTCATGATAGTGGACATGTATATGCAGACATCAGCAGAAAAGCTTCTTTTATTTGCCATTTCTTTCTTCTTAATATGACTATATTCATCAAAAACAAACAGTGTGTTTGTTTGCTGCAACTTCTGCACAGGGATCAGACATCTGGACCTGAAATCTTACACAGACCTGCTCTTACTGTCACAACAGATTGAAATCTGCTGTAATCCTGTTATTGTTGCCTCTTCTGAAAATCATATTAGTGAATTAGTTGGTCAAATTTGCCCTGAATTTCTTTCAAATCTTGTCACAAACGTACCTTTTCCTATCTCAGTACTTCAGTTTGTCCCCATATTAATACAGGTTGTGTTTGACGCTAAGGCATTAAATACTTAGGCCAGACCCTGAGATTACAAGCCCACCTATAAGGGAACCCTGACCTCCACCATGCTGGGTATCACTGCTCTAATCATTCGTTTGGGACAGTAGGTAAGGAAGATCACTATATTACAATGTATAAAGGATCAGATCCTGTTCTCTAGTTGTCCTGGGAAAAAGCCTGCCTGACACATGAACATGAAAGACTGCTGTCTCGCCCACCCATATGCCTGATGGCTTTAAAACTTGCATCAAACTTAAAAAAAACAAACAAACGCTATTGTAGCACAAAGAATCCAAATAACAAATGATATAATTATTTAAATTGTGCATTTTTAATTGCAGTGTTGTGTCCTGAAGGGTGACTAAATAAAATGTATTATTATTATTATTATTACTATAAATCTTCAGCCTCTGCTGCACTAGAGTTTAATTATTACGAGAAATTTAATTTTTTTCATTATACAGTATAAACCTATTAGAAACATCATAAATGAGGCTAAAAAAATGCAGCTGAGGTAAACTAAGTCATAAACTACCTAAACAAAGTTAACGGTTTTAGTTAAGACATACTTTGGGGTTTGGCCTTTCAGTCCACTTTGGCACATTTTGGAACCGTCTAAAAATAGGTAAATTTCTTGTACTTTTATTTTTTTTTTGCAAAACTTAATAAAACGTATCTAAAATATCTTGCTTTTGAATATTATGTTCCAGGGCCCCACATCGATTTTTTTACACCATTTTAAAAAAACAGAAAATGTTTCACTACAAATGAAGCACTTTTACGGAACATCAAGTGCAAGAAAACTTTAGGAACACACACATTTAAATGATTAAAAACTACCAAAATATATTCAATATTTTCATGGCACTGAGCTGTGCTCATCATGACACAGCTCAAACCCATTAAATTAGGTTTTTACCTTCAGGAAGCCAGCCTCCTCGCACTACCTGTAACACCTACTGACAGTAAACACCTACTACACCTGTTGGTGTAGATGTGGGTGTTGCCATATGTTAATATGACTATTAGCTTCACTCTAGTTTGGACAACTTTCACTTTGTAATCATAAGCGCACGTAGGACCAAATTATATAAACATATACATATCATATGTATGTAAGTCCTGCTATGTACCAACTGGAAAGAGATGAAGGGCTTTCATGCAAACTGTGGGAATTTTACCTTTGTTCATCAACTATGTGTTAGTGATTCAGAGAGAAAAAATTATGGAAGACAGCTTGTAAGGGGCACTGGGGGACAAAGGTTTTCAACAAATATGGCTGTATTGTGGTGGATTTAGAATTTGGACAAAACACAATCAAGATCGAGAAGTTTTTAATTTATACTTCAAATGTGAGTGACCTAGGCTATGTTCACACCGCAGCCTGAAGTGACCCAAATCCAATTTTTTTCCCCACATGCGACCTGTATCTGATCTTTTCATGGCAGTCTAAACAACACAGATCCGATTTTTTTCCAATGCGACCCAGGCCACTTGGCTATGTGGTCCTGAATCCGATACGAATCTGATCTTTTCAAATGTGACCTGTGTGTGAACGGCCAGGCCGCATTCATCCGATCTGAACTCCATTAGTAACCGACAAAGGTCACTATTCTGCTTCTTGCTATACAGAAGCGGTAAGAAAAACAAACACCATGGTGGACGATGATGCAGAAAGCATTATTTTTTTTAACCATCTTGAAAAGATTGTGTTTTTAAGGTTTGAAAAGATCGCTAGATGCGCTCCAGCACAACATCCATGTTTATCTTCGTAAACACGAAGCGCGCCGGCTTGTGACGCCATTGCGTCCTCTACTGCGCATGCGGGACACTTAAGCTGTATGAATGCAGTTTACACAGCAGATCACATACAAGTCGCAAACATTTGGAAATGTGAACGAAAGGAAAAAAAAATCAGATTTCACAAAAAAACGGAGTTGAGCATCAAGGCCTGCAGTGTCAACGTAGCCTAATCTGGTCTTCTTCTCATGCATGTTGAGTGAATCCAGGGTAGATTGAAAAGCCGTAGAATCTCTGCTTTTAGCAGAAAGTTTTTTTGTTTGTCAAAAACACCTTCTGAAGAGCCAAGGACATATGACAGTATTTTTATTTGCTTCAGATTCAACTATCATAGAAATGGTTTATATTAGCTTTTAGCCAAGATCCTGACATGTCTGTGGAGATCAAATATGTCTGTGTTAAATCAAGGACACTCAGAGTGATGAGCCTGGAAAAGAAAAAAGTAAAACTTCTTCCACAGTACCGGAGTTTTGGGCTTAAGAAGTTATCAGGTCCTTTTCTTACTTATTTGTTTAATTGCCATCAGTTACGTTTCTGCAAACTGAAATAATGCATTATTTGGCTTTGAGCACGGGATAAAAATAATAACTGCTTAACAGATTTTAGTACCAGTGAATAAAAGGAGATAAAAACAAATACTCAATTATTTTTAAGTGCATTTTATAATCATGCAACATTTTGTTTAATTAATTTTTTTAAATGTTTTGTTAGGTCTAGCTCCAAAGTCAGTTTAACCCCTTGACACCTATTGTAGCAAATATGCAACAAACCATTTGTGTTACCCAAATAATGAGGATAGGATATGCATTCCCCCATTGATAGCAATTACAATCTCAGGACCTGAACGTTTTTCATTACTTCATTGCAAGCAATAAAAAACAAAAGTGTAAAACTGAGGCAGAGAGGAACGGCCAAGCAAGGCAGAAGGGATAACGGATAAAAGAAGTCATGATATGATTGAAAATGAAGTATTGGGATAATGTGACGAGTTGGGGATGAAAAATGGATGGAGAGAGAGACTAAAAGGAAAAACAGAGAGAGAGAAAATGAGAAATTGTGGATGATAATAGGAGATGGAAAAAAGAGAGCAGGTGGCCGGCGATATACCAAACCCGCCATGAAATATTCAATCTTTAATCAGACTCCCAGCATTCCCTAACGAGGCGTGAGAAGGATGAATTAGGCCTTTGCGTTTAGGGGCTGAGCCACTCAAAGTTATCTAACACTTACACGCTCACCAAAAGACTCAGTATTACACACACCACTGTACCAGATGTGTGTTTTTTCACAAGTGTACAGTGTAAGAAGCCCCTAACGCTGGAGCTGAGATTAATGACCCACACGTGGTTTGACAGAGAGACAAACGGGTAGCCTGTATACAAACACACACACAACTATATATTTACTCACCACACTCACACTGACTGTGTGTATGTGGGTAGAATATTTTAGGAATCCTGCTTAATTTTTATATATAATAAAAAAAAACATGCAGGAAGACTGTTCTTTTTGGTTTGTGCTCATTTACCCATTTCTTTCCAGAGTCAAAGAGCAAAGGAGAAATTAAGCAGTCAAAAGATTAGATAAATGTTACTTTAAACACACTTTGAGATTTAGGTTAAAATTCTAAAATACATTTAAAAAACTAGAAACTTGTTAAAACACTATTTCAATTACAACCAGGTTGTTGAATATTTTACATGATGTCATTTTTGAATCTGCAAAGCACATGACTCTTCCTTTTTGCAAACATGATGGTTTTGGTTTTGTTTAAATTTTCTTTCTGAGTTTTCATTGGTTTTGTTTCTATTTTGTGTCATTCTAGTTATTTTCAGGTTGTATTTGAGTTCTTATGTGTTTCCTGTTTACCCTCTGTCGCCCCCTTGCGTCAGTCTCCTTCCCCTAGCTCCCTTCTAGATTCTTCTGTCCACAGCTGCTCCCAATCAGTTAATTACTCCAGTCTTTGTTCTGTTTGGCATATATTCTCTTCCTTTTCAGTTACTGTTTGCTGGTTTCTTTTCTTTGCCCCTCATTTGTTTTCCCTGACATCTCCTGGTTCTTAGTTTTTGGACTTTGCTTCAGTTGCCACCATTTGGATTATTAAATCTGAAAGAAACCACCTCAGCTTCCTTTTCTGCATTTGGGTCCTCTAAAAAGATGCACACAACTTGACAATGATAAAGTGTTTGGTGGATGGGAATGAAAAACACATCTGGAAACACCTGAAACACAGCTGACATGACTTCTAAAATTTATATCAAAGATATGAATAGTTCATAGCTTAGAATAAAAAAGAAGAAAAAAAATCCCCTTTTGGGCCTGAAAACACTCCGAGTTACAAATCTAACACATAACCAAAAAATGAAGGGTTGGAAGGATTTAGCTTTGCTGGGTTTTTATATATTATGGTTTATTAATATTTTAAGTTTACACAGCCTAAACTCATTTACGCATTTTTAATTAAGGATCTAATCCATTTCTCCTCTTGGATTTAGCCAACTATAATAGTAATAAAATAAATAACAGTGACTTTATCAAACCAGTAAAGTTATTTGATCAATTAAAATTTTGTTTTTTTTCACACATATTTATATCGCACTGTAGTGTGACTTCTAATGTTAAGATTTTTTAGTTAGAAAGGTTACTTTCACACCAGCTTTAAGTCAATTGGGACTAAACGCCGCAGTGTTTAACCAATTGAAAGCCGTAAGCTGTCACTAAAAAAACTAACAGCGATAAATGAATCAAAGTTTCATGATGACGTTTGAGGTATTAGCCTTTTTTTCTGTAAGGTTTGCATGTACAACTAATAGAAAACGATAGTGTTTGAAAATGAAGCCGGGCTACAGCTTGAGAATAATGTGCTGATGCACCGGAGATGATTCAGATTAATGCGGCTCAACATTCACTGAGAGATCCTCATCTAGTGCAGATACAGACAACCATAGAGGTTATTTTATGCCCGTAATATATCAGAGTATGGTTCTTTTTAGACATCAACTAGTGGAGCCAAACTGCAGCAACTTCTTCAGGCCACTCTAGTTTGTTGCGCATTAGAGTCCAATTTTCATGCTTACCCTGAGGGGATGAAAATTACAGAATATCGATCGAAATTTAGATCGCCTTAAAGCTTCAGGTGTGAAAACACTCTAATTGTTGTCTCTGTTTAGATAAAAGGCGATGAAAAATTGATTGAATAAAAAAACAATCCTGTAATGATGTATTTACAGGCAGCTCGGTTGCCTTATGTCTCCATCCAGGGATTAACTAACCTAGGTGTGGCAGTGCAGTGTTTCATAATCTAAATCAATAAGTATGATTGAGAACATCTTCACAGATATCTAAAAAGATATGCAGAATTTAATCCTCATGGTTGATCTATGTGAAAACAAACCATCAACCCATGAAAAATAAGCTTATCTCACATTTTTTCCTAAATTTTCTTCAGTATCTGTGAAATTGTTGCTGTTGTACTATAAGAGCAATTTTTATGGTCCTGTAAGTCTCAGTAAGAAGGCAGCTTTAATTTTATGTGACAACAAATAAAAAAAAGAAATAAGAAACAATCTCAACCTGCAGGTAAATTCCCAATCTTAGCCTACCAATAATTTTTATTTCCATTCAGAGGATGATGCATCAACACACCAAGCAGGAGAGTCTGTTGCAGCCTTACTTCCTCCAGAGTGTTTTCCACACCTAACGTCATGTCTCAAGTGAGAAACCGATCAGCTTCACTGGTGAGTCATCATAAATGTAGCTACCTCTTTTAGCTGTGAAGAGTGTTGAGTCGTAAAAATAGACCCAAATTTCTTCTAAAAATATGTGACTGTGTTAAACTCAGAGGGACTTCTCTTATGGTTGGGTGCTGACTAAGAACTGATAACAGCAAAACAGCTTTGGCAAGTGACAGTTGTAAATCTGCGGACAGAAAGAACTGACCGGAGGCAGCCGGTGGCGTTACGGAGGACCTGGGAGGAGTGCAGGTGAAGCTTGCGGTCCTCCTGGGTGTGGGGAGATGTGTCCCAGCCTGAGTGTGGGATGATCACAGCGTTAGTCAGCACCGCCAGGGCATCCTGGATGATGGGCATCTTCAAGGCATCGCAGGACGACAGGTTCCACAAAACACCTAGGGATAAAAACAGAGCAGGCACATGTTGGAGCTGGGAAAGTAGTAAACATGGGCGAGGTGAGGGTATAAAGAGGTGGCAGAAACATATAATAGTAGCAAAAGAAGATATTTAGATCGGCATAATAGTCATATAAGAAACAATACATGTATTGATACAACATTTCAACGTTAATAGTCACCAATAATGAATCATATAGGACAAGACATTTTTTTTGCTGTTGAAGTTAAATCATAAAAAGGAAATAGAAAAAGCAGATGTTCCCAAAAACTTAAAAATAATCCACTGGACTTTATTTTCCATGTTTGAAGACGTTTCGCCTCCCATCCAGGAAGCTTTTTCAATTCAAAATGTATGAATTAGCATTGAGTTGCAAGCTTTAAACAGTAGCCCAACAAAGCTTACTTTGGCTTAGAAAACATGCAAATTAAACCAGATGAATTTGCATGATTTCCTGTTGGAAAATGTGATTTCATGTTTGTTTTTTTGGAATGACTATTACCTGTTTGTTTGTTTTTTTGAAATGACTATTACCTGGATGACTGAGAATTTTCAACACCAAATAAGCTGATGATCTCAATATAACACAGCAGTTCAGCGATGTTTAATTAAAATACTTGAGGTTCGATGATATACAAATTGTTATGATTAGGGCTAAGGCTCGATCAATCATTAATTGTAGTATAGAGACTGTAAAACATGCCTTTAGCTGACAGAGAAACCCACTTAGAGCAGCAATTCCATCAAAATTGTAAAAAAAAAACATATATAAACATTTTGCATTTAAGATTAATAAACATTTTTGTCTCTCCATATGGTCTATCCAGAACCGCTCAAATTTTAAAGTTTCAGTTTCGCCTGGTTTAATGACCTTTAGGGAACCTTTGGCTATCCAATTAATTGATTAATCGAAAAAAAAATTATGAATAGATTAATCAATCAATTTTCAAAATAATTGCTAGTTCCAACCCTAATTACAGTGTAATTAAAACAGACCATGGGTCCACTACATCAAACACAAGTAAAAGTTTCAGGCAAACAATTCCTGAGGCTTAAAATCTTCTAAATATAATAAAGATAGAGCTAAAATAAGTAGGGTCCCCTGTTCTGTACGGAACAGACAAGCTGAGACTGCTGTCCGGTTGACTGAAAGCGGATCATCATTCATCATTGCAGTGTATATTATATATTTATATATATATAAAAAAATTGACCACTGTTAATCTAATAAACAAATTACTTCAACACCGCTCCTCATCTCCTTTTTCAATTCTCTCCTGAATTCAGCATGCTGTGAGCATCCAACCAAGAAAGTAGAGTTTTTCCTCTTGCCTACCAATTACTGTCCACCCTTTCTGCCACCCGCAACACACCAAAAATCACTTTCACAAAATAGACAAAAGCTCTCCTTCTCTGGAGAATGCCTCACTTTCTGCTCAATAGAGGCAACAACACATATGTTAAAAAAAAACAACGGGAGCAGGAGGTAAATCATCATATTTTGTCGCAAAACACTTTTTTTTCTTGAGTGCCATAAATGCACTCTTATACACACAGTGTTGTAATGCTCATGTGCAATGGAGAACATCATCATTCTTGTTGACCTTTATCTTACAAAGTGTGTGTGCCCTAATCTGTGTATGGATGTAATTATATGTTTTTCCTTTGAGTGTCAGCCCCTAGTCATATCCGTACATATCAACCCTCTTTCTTTATGGCAGTAATTATAGCTGTGGTACATACATCCTTTTTGAGGACCTTTGTCTGTGTGCATTAGTGTCTGGAGTAAGGCATCCACTCTTCAAGGCTCTGCTGTTCATCCTCAGGTCAACAGTGTCTGTGTAATTACAGCTCTTGTTATCTGTACGTATAAATTGGTTCCTGTGTGTACATGTTTTTGAAGTGTGTTTTACATCTAAGCCTATTGACAAATTGAAGCTGACCTCATCAGCACTAGAGGCTTTTCTTTTTTAGGGCGGACAGCTTCTGTTTTAGGGGTCAAAATCATCTGTAAAAGGACTTTTTGCTTAATTCAAATTACTTTTGGCTTCATTATTGATCAGGGTCCAGTTGCTCATGCTAATGGGGAGAAAATGGGCGAAGCTGCTTGTGTTCTGTTAGAATTTCAGCTGGACTTTATATCCCAGGTTCGGAAAATTTTCTTAAGGACATTTAATAGCCACTTTCCTGAGGAACTGAGACATCAACCAGCATTTGTCTTTTTAAAGGAACATTTTTGTTGGCTGCATAAAAGTTAAGGCAAATATCTTGGTATCATATCTGCTGATTTAAATTATAAACTAAAACTTTTTTTTTTTTAATCAAAAAGTAGTTTCGGCTTTTCCTCAAAAAAGAAAAGTCAAAATGCCTCTAAATAGAGCACAGTTGGAAAGGACTAGCAAAAAAGACAGAATACATAAACAGATTCTTAACTATATTTTACTGTTTAATTTTTAAACCTTAGTGGACACCTTCAATTTCAGATGGAAGACAGAACTGCAATCATAATGGGTTTATGACTGTGTTATTGCTCTGCAACAGATGATTGTTTCAGTTTAGGATTTATAAAGGAAACTTGTGATTGTATCTATTGTTTGACAGTTGATCATCTTTGACGAAACAACTCACCAGAATATAGGGGTTGGATCCCCTTTTGCCTTCAGAACTGCCTTCATTCTTTGTAGCATAGATTCAATAACGTATTGGAAACACTGGGTACATCGAACTCATTGTCATGTTCACAAAACCAGTCTGAGAGCAATGAGAGGATAGATATACTGTGATCAAAAATGGATGTATATGATCAGCAGCAATATTCAGGTAAGCTGTTGCATTGGCAAGATGCTCAGATGGTACTAATGAGCCCAGAGTTTGCCAAGAACTTACTATCTGAAGGTTGCAGCAGAGATCATGACTCATCAGACCAGGCAACATTTTTCCACTTTTTCACTGTCCAACATTGGTGAGCCTGTGTGAATTGTAGCCTTAATTTTCCTTTTCTTTGCTTACAGGAGTGGCACCTGGCATAGTCCGCTGCTGCTGTAGCCCATCTGCCTCAAGTTTCGACACACTGTGCATTCAGAGATGCTCTTCTTCATATTTTGGTTGTAACGAGGGGTTATATGAGTTACTTTTGTCTGTCTACCAGCGCAAACCAGTCTGCCCATTCTCTGGCCGACCTCTACACCAACAAGGCATTTGCTCCCACGAAACTGTGTTTGTGTGGGCGCAAACTCTGCCACCTTTAAAGTCATTTAAACCTTTCTTCCCCATTCTGATGCTCAGTTGGAACTGCAGCAGATTGAAAGGCATTTAGTAATGCTGTGTGAGTGGCTGATTAGAAATTTCCATTAATGAACAATTTGAAAGATGTTCCTAATAAAGTGGCCAGTGAGTGTATATTGGGGAACTATATGAAGATGTCACACAGATGTCACCTTTCATTTATGTTATTTGTGACAAAGATTATAATCTCAATGACCTCTATATTGATTTATATTGGCATAACTCTCCTTGGCTGAGTCAGAACGTCTGCCCTAACCCCATAATCACTATACAGTATAGAGTGGGCATTATATAGTGTACTTCAGTTCACTCAGTCAACTGACCGTTCGGACAGATGATCACTACTTTTCGCTCACCATTACTCACGGGATTCCGGCAAGGTGTCATCTTTGTTCCTTCGTCCCCAAAACAAATCCCAAAATGTTTTTCCTAGGAGAGCTTATGCAAAGCATTCTGGGATATATCTGCTTATCTGGTGAACATTGATGGACACAGCTTTTCAAGGTGAATTGCGAGAAATTTTGACTCCACAAAGTTTTCACCTACTAGACATTCAGACACTCCTATAAAATGGCATACTTTAACCCTTATCTAGTTTGGATGCAGCCGTAATCCTGAACTGCATTTGCTTGAACTATTTTTACAGTAGATCTATTTCTGGAGCGGCAGTATTTAAAAAAATGACATGAACAATCTTGACTAATACCTTTATTTATATCAAACTCATTTGGTAATAAACTAAATGTTTATTTTCGATACAGATGCATCAGTTTAGTAAGAAAATAGCGAAGATAATATGAAACTCTCCCTCTTAGCAAAACACGTCACCTTGAAAGCTTGATTTATTAGAGCGCTGGTTTGGAAGGTAATAACTATATTTTACTGTATGTAATTAAATGTGTATTGCATGATGTCATGTTGCAGCTGCAAGAAACAGATCCTTGACTATCTTGAGAAACTTCAGCTGTTTGCCAGTACCACCACTTACTGTGCAGAGTATGACATCATCTCCCTGAGGTGAAAGGCAATGGGATTTTAGATTTGATCGGAAACACGCTCCCAAACCCACTAAGCGTCTGCACGGATGGCACTGCAAACACACTTTGAAAGGCACAACACACTCACACACACAGGAATGAGTGTCTGACAGATGAAGGAGGTTAATTGCCACAGACTTACATCATGAGTGGCAGCAGGAGGCAGCGAGTGCATGGTTAAAGAGAGGGAGGGGAAATGAATATGTTGGCTATCTCTCTTTTTCTCTCATGCCATTTCCCATCTGATGTGTAGTTTTGCTTGGATTCATTGCCCTGTCAAATTTCTCTTTTGAGGCCACTGCTGCATGTATTTTTGTTCTCCAAATCTGCAATATGTCATCACTAGTTTTCTTCCTCAAAACATCAAGCATTTCCAGGTGCTTAATATTCAACAATATGTCAGTCACCTGTGTTTTTGTTGTTTCTACAGTAAATGCCACATTTTATTCAACTGTATCTGATTTACAGTCTTTATTTGTCTCCTCAGTTACTTTAGCAAATTGTATTCATCAAATACATGACTTTTTAAAAGTTTTTTAGAATATGTGTACTAATAGGTGATGTATGTAACCTTAAAGGGATCCAGTCCTGTTCTATGCCTATACCAAAAAACATAAAATGTCATATGTTAATGTTAAAATAAAGCAACATACCCCAAGGGTAGTGTTTACTTAGTTCATTTTCAGCTTGAAAATATTTTTTTCTTTGGATGCGATCGAAAGGTGTAAACATTATTGTAAACTGTCACCGTCTGCTTGCAGTACTTACACATACATATCCATTAAACTGGCAGCTCTTGTGTTTTCCCCAATAGCTACAAATATTTTATTTTAGAATATTTTAACTTCGATTTTGGACATTTGTTTTTTTATTTTTACACGTGTTGGATGTTCCTTGGTAAAAGTAAGCTGTAAGCTTACCATTTTTTCTTTTAGGACACAATAAAATTAAATGTAACTTGACAACAAAGAGCACGTTAAATAGCAGCTTACATTTTTATTCCAAATGCTGACAATTTAAATAGATTATTTCATATTATCAAATAATATTATAAATAAATAAAAAAAATACAATGTACTGAATTTAGGCCATGTATGCAGTGTTAAATCCTACAAATATGTGGCTATTAAAAAAAACAAAACAAAGATTCTTAAACTATGAAGCCATTCTTAACATTTCTGGATTTTAAAAGGTTTTGAAAGAGATATAGAAAAATATTCAAACAAAAATTCCTCTTGCAATTCATGATTTTTTTCTTAATAAAAACCATTGTGCTCTGTTACCATATGATTCTATCCAACTCATTTTACTCAGTTTATTCAAGGTTTTTCCACTTGGACAATCTCCACAATATCAGGTCCAGGACACTTTGCTCTTTCAACCATGGGTCAGCCAATCAGAAGATTGCTCAGGCATGAGATGCACTCTCACAGCTGAATTGACTCCAGTGGCAGTATGCCAAAAATGGTGTGAGAAGCTATTTTGCCTTGATATCAGTGCAAAATTTTGAGCATAACCACAACATTTTTTAAAGAAAATGGCAAAATGATGAATCAGAGTACGTACTTAACAACTGACAGATTCAGTCTTCTGAATGACCACAGCCTCTTGACAGTTATCTGGTCCCTTGTGCTGGACAGCCCAGGCTCGATTAAGCAATACTTGATTTGCTATCATGTATTCTGACATTTTTGGTTTAATAGGATATCCAGGGGTCTGGTTAAAACAGCGGAGGACGTTAAGGCATGTTGCCAACAGTGATGCCTGCTGCTGTGAACAAATAAAAACACTGAACTGTAATAACAAGCAGAACCACAGTGTTTCAAAGGAATTAGAGTTAAGGAAAAACAGGCCACTCATCTGGAGGCCAAGTATGTAGTTAAGTGGTATGTACTTCATATTAGATGATGTGCTGTCAAACATCAGAGCCTTATGTCAATATCAGCAGCTGTGCAAGTAGAAGATTCCCACAAAGCACCAACAAGGTAACAAATGGTTTTCCTTTGTATTCAGTTCCAGTACTGGACACAACAATAGCTGGAAGTTCTAGAAAGGTGGGTATTATTAGATATTTCCTCCCTACAGCTATTAACACATACAACAACTTGGTTTTAATAAAAAAAAAAACAAAACAAAAAAAAAAAACTACAAACTACAAATAAAAAAATTAAGAGTTACTGCAAAATGTATTTTAGCTTTTTGATTAATTAATTATTTATTAATTTAGATGAATTAATCCAACAAGAGGCAATCATACAGTCCACACATTGGACCTCTAAAAAAGAAACAACCCTTCCTTTGACAACCTCAGTTGGAAAGATTAAAAGCTATAGATATCCTTCTGTTAAGTTAAAATTTCTTATTTTTGTTTAACAAGACATTCACGCCTTTGTATTTTACTCATATTGAACACAGATTGTCATTATCTTGGAGCTGATGTCTAGTCTGTTAACTCCTTTCACTCACCTGCTTATCTGCGCCCAGTTCTCATTATAGCTCATCTGATCCACCTGCTTCAGTTTCTATTTAACAAGCCTTCAGACCAGTCATCAGTGTCATATTTTGAGCCTGTGGTGACAGTTCTCTAGCGTACCTGTGCTTCCGATTGCCTGATCCTGACCTGTTCTGTCTCTGGACTTTTGAGCCTGCATGTCCCCGTTCTGATCTGTTTACCTGACCTACCTTCGGACTCCTGCCGGATCTCTGCCTGTCTGTGCACCAAACCTGGTACTGTTTCTTGACTCCGTTCTGGATTCCCCTTTGACATATCTTTGGATTATGGATCTCCTGGCTCTGACGACTGAACACGTCACCGACATCAGGTATGCCTGTACACCGATATATCAGCATCTGGCACTATCAGGGTGGCGCCCCCTTCATTGTGTTGGCAGCCGACCGGCTGGAACCAACCTCACTCTCTGTGCTCGACACTGAACTATAAGAGCAGGTTATTGACTCACATATTCGATAACTTCCACCTACAGAAATATGTGATCACTAACCTGTTGTCTCCCCCTGCAGAGGTTCCTGCCTTAGAAGCTGACGCTGCTCACTGCGGTTCTGTTTCCAATAAACATTTTTTGAAAAATATGTTTGTCCGCCTCAAATACTGGATCCTATTGTTCTGAGCTTGACACAGATATCTTTTTTTTCTGTACAGAATTTTATATCCTGCTTTAAAAAAACACACAAAGAAAAAACACCACAGTCTGCTGCAAACACCTTTGAAAGGCAGTTATTTTCAAGTCTAAACATTCCCATTTAGGTTACATGTAATGTTTTAGTCTGTTTAATTAGAAATTTTACTTGTTCTACCAGAATGATCAATTTAAGTGGCAAACATGGGAGAAAAGATCCATAATTACACTGGTACAAAAGAAGATGGACTGAACAACAGAGGTTGCCTGTCACACATCACTATGTGATTACGGGTAGGTCATGGTGTGTGTGTGCATTTGTGTGTGTGTGTGTAGCTGGCGAGGCAGGTATTTGGACTTCCTGCTGTGATTCTGATTTAAAATGCTCACCAGACAAAGAAATGCTGGAAGACAAGGCTGGCAATGCAGAGTGTATGAGTGAAATCAGAGAAGTGGTGAAAGACAAAAAGGGCAGCACAAAGGCACGCGGAAAACGACACACCAGTTATGAAAATTCAACTAGTGAGAAAAAGAGAGAGACGGAAAAGAAGAAGAGAGAGAGAAGAGAGAAAAAAAGGAAAGATTCCCAGTGAGTCGTTGGAAGAGAGAGGACAGAGTGGTCTGTATGCGTCCGTCCGGTCGGTCATTCAGCTGATTAATTTGTGACAGAGGGGATTTCTGTGCTCCACACCATTGAATTGCTGCTCTAATTTATATGGTAATCTTCTTTAAGACTCTAGCTGCATACAAACTCCTTCTAGTTCCATCTTTGAAAAGACCAAAAACCTTTTCTAGACTGACAAACACACCTGATAATGTACAACATGCCCTGCAGCAAATGAGCCAGAATGTGGGAGAGGAGACAACACTTGTCACTTTCCTGTTAGTATTACTTCACATTGTGCTGTTAGGGCAATCGTTGGTTTACATGTTCGTCCCTGGCCAGAGTCCCACATCAGCTTGCGGCATGAAGCGCAGTTGTAGATGATGCAGAGAATGGACATCAAAGATAATAAAGTCTAAGATGGAAACAATCTCTGTAATTTTTGTGTAGTTTTGTTTTTATTCATACGCAAATGACCAAGTTGAATAAAAAAACAGCACTCTTAACCTAGAAGATTACAATATTTTGCCACAGTCCAACCACGATGTTGAATATGTTTCATAAGGATACTATGTGAAAGTCAAATGTAGGTTAATTGGACCATTATTAAGTCAAAGGAAATAATCCACTGTTTTGACTTATTAGTTGTGGCATCTCCCGTTAATTTTACAAACCCTACAGAATATTCCCACCCGTTAAGCTCCTAATGGGGGACACATTGTAGTGATGGCATCATGAGTTTTGGGTACCTCTTTTCAGCATGGACAGCATAGCTGTTTAGAGTTGATGAGACCTTAATACACAATTTCCTAAAAGAAAACCTGTTAGTGGACACAAAGCGCTCAAGAGGTTAATCTTTAAGCTCTACAATCCGAACTATAAAGCCAGAGCTCCAGTGTGATGGTTAAGATCAAAGCATATCCTTATAATATAAAACGGCAAAGCCAAAGTCCAGACCTGAACCCAGTTGAGAACGTTTCAGGATGTGCGATTACAGACACTCTCCATTCAATCCGACTAAGCTCAGGTTATTTTGCAGCAGAAAACAAGCAAATATTATTATCATCAAAGCTGTGCGAATACAGTTGCAAAGCACTGTGTGTGTAAAGCTGTCAACATTCTGACACATCTAAGTATAGCATTTGTTAGTTAGGTGTAGGTGGTAAAAGGTATCTGTTTTTACAGACAGCTAAACTGGGAAGCACAACTAATGTGATAGAATTCATATTCAAAACATTCATATGTTTTTTATAAAATGTATATACTACAAACATACATCTGTACTTTCCTAATTTAGCAACTGGATTGGAATCACCCACAGTCCTAAACCACCCACATTATACCCCGGGATTTCTGTGCATTTAAGTTTTGAAAACTGAGTCATTCATTTACAGCTGTCATGTCTCTAGCTCTCTCTAGAGGGATCTACGGTGCTGTTGTTGATTGTAAGGATACAATAAATGTAAAGATAAATATAGTGGCCCTAGCAAAGCATTGACTGATGATTCCATCGGTCTTCGTTTACATCCCGTACTCAGCACTTTCTAGAAGTTAAAATTAATGAACCAAAAACCCATAATTTAAAACATGTTTGCGTGTACTGACAGTTCTGGGAACTACTGCAGTGACTGTACCATGACACTTCCTTACACTCTTTTCATGTAAATACATGTGTAAGTGGGAGTGCATTTGCATCTCTCTTCAGAGTACAGCAAGGTGTACTTCACTATAAATGACATGCTTGCAAGTGAAATGAAAGATTGTTCTAAGTACAAGCACAAACAAAAAAGTCAAGTGCAGATTTATGCTACAGATTCCAAAGTGTAGGTAATAAAGCCGCAGATTTTTGTGTCATTGTACCCTTAAAAGTGAGGTAACTAATGAGCTGTACCTGTGAGCAGCTCTCGGATTTCCAGGTCTGTGGTCTTCCTGAGTAGTCGGACCAGAGCGGGTATGCCTCCGCAGTTCTTCAGGGCGATCTTGTTGTCGTCATTAGCCTTGCCATACACCAGGTTCCTCAGTGCTCCGCAGGCGCTGCGGTGAACATCTGTCATTCGGTGGTCCAACAGGTCCACCAACAGCTGGATTCCACCCTGCCGACGGATCTGCAGACAAGACAAAGAGAAAGAAAGACCACTTTATTAAAACCTAAAATGTTGGAGTCACTTTGAAGGTATAGTGTAGGATTTGCTTTTCCTGGTGGATCATCAAAATAATTGTCAATGATTCTGGTGATGAAAGGCCATTCTACGTACTTGTCCCATTTTCAATTACTGGTGGTGAGTCTGAAATAGTGGAATAATAGCAATTCTTCTTTTTGGCCTCATGCATGCTCTCGCATGTGTTTAATCACGTGTTTCCATCTCAGAGTGGGCAGAGGGTTCTGCATGTGCTTTTTTTTAAGTGGAGAGGGCAGTTCTTTCAAAAATTTGCGACAATCCTCCACTATACCTTTAAATGCTTTTTGGGAAAAATGTTCTTGCTATCAAAACTGAAAATAATAATAAAAAAAGGTTAAAAAACAAGAGATTTTAAAAAAGTAGATATTTCTCAGTCCAAGGATGAATGCTTCACCACAGGATCTGAAGCTGCTGCCAGGAATTAGGCTTTTCTCAACAACACTGAAACACTGACTAAAAGGCAACTATGCTGTAAACAGTGAAAATCTGAACTTTTGGTTTCAAGTATTTCATCTGTATTATGTACTTTGTGATATCATCATATTTTTTTTATTCCAGAATGTAGTTATTTTATCCTTGTCATATGCACTTAATTTTGTTTCAGTTTTTTTATTGGGAGGAACCTAGAAGCCCTTTGGCTAGTAGACCTTTGTACGCTACATCAGTTTCATAATGGTAACATTTGGTTGTTCTATCCCTGTAAAAATAAAATAAAAATGGTGTCTATAGGGGTGTGTGTGTGTGTGTGTGTGTGCTAAGGCCAAACCTCCCTGCTCCTTTCTCTCTAGACAAAGAAAATGTAGGGCAGACTGGCTGCTCTCCATAAAAAAATAGCAGTAATTTGAGCTCTTTAAGAAGGGGAAGCTGTACATGTTTGCACTGAGTTTTAATAGTATTATATACAGAAGCTAAAAGTAGTGAGTCTAAAACTAGACTCACTGTTTAAATATAAATCTATATAACTCCTAAGAAATGTTGCTTTGTAATTACCATTATACCAAATAAATCACAATGCAACACAAATACCATCCCCACCTTTATATGAACTGATTTTGGCAGTCACGTTCAGGTTTTAATCCCAGCTGTTTGGGCATGTAACACTTTTCTTTCTGTTCAAGTCAATAACAACTTCCTTCTTACCTTTTGTCACATGTCTAAAAACCAAAGTCCATAAAAACTGATGGCAGCGGTTGGGTTAAAAGGCCTCTTTTCAGCTGACAGCTGACTTGTATTTGTATGCACTGTGATTATTTTTGATGTGAACGAAAAGGGAAATGCAGAAAATACTGTATGATGTGTCAACAGTGAGAGAAGAATCTTTTCTGTAGTGGCAATATTTGTCACTTTCAGTGGTCTTTGGAACTAATAAAATAATAAATAAATAATATTAACAGAAATGTAAAGTAAAATGGATAAAAAAATATTTGAATGCTTTCTGACTTTGGTTAAATTGATAGTAGATCTAAAGAATATATGTATCTATATATATGTAAAATTATGAAATATGATTTTTTTTTGGCTTTATGTCAGGATAGAAGGTTAACTTGCATCTCAAGACTGTTGTAGCCTTTAACAGCTTTTCTACGAGGGTTAACCTGTACTTAGTTCCACTCATGATCCCATTGACTTTTACCACTTTCTCTGCTCCTTCTGAACAAAAGCAATCTTAGAAAGTGATGCTGCAAAACCATGTCAGAAGGGGCTGCTACATGACTTATTTTAACCTCTGTAAAGAAACTGACTGAAAAGGGATTTGTAAATAGAATTAGACCATCCATCCATCCATCCATCCATCCATCCATCCATCCATCCATCCATCCATCCATCCATCCATCCATCCATCCATCCATCCATCCATCCATCCATCCATCCATCCATCCATCCATCCATCCATCCATGTTTTTTATAAATACAAGAGAAAACTAAATCAATAAAGTAGAGGCACATCAAATAACAGAAGCGTATGAAAACTGAAGCTCCCTCTGCCGTTCCTGGTATCCCTATTACAGATGTGTGAAAAGTCTAACAACAGATTTTGCTGCTGTTGTAAGGATTCATGGTTTTGTCATGCCATGTCTGGATTTATTTTTGTTTTCATCTCTCCACCGTCCTCCTGCCATGTCTCTCTGTTTTCATCAACCTCATTCAGCCCACCTCTGCCAAGCCCAATTACGTCTGTTTCACTGTTGGCGACACTTCATAAACCCTCCCCAGCCTCTGCCTCTCTGCCAGATGACTGACTCCTAAGCTGGTGGAAATCCTGAGTTCTTTCCAATCATCTGTTTTCTTCTTACTGACCAGATTTATGCTTTGGGATACCAACTCTCACTCTGATATATGGCGCCTAGGCAGAAGTTCAACTGAAGAAACTCATTGCTCTCCAACATCCACCTGCAACACAGCCAATCAGCTTTGAACCACACCTCCACAAAAGCCAACGGGCATCCAAAATGAATCTTAAAAGGCCTCCGATCGCAACTCGTCTGCTCCTGTGCACAGACAGAAGTTGCACTGTGTGACTTCATTCAGATGACTGCGTTTCAACCCACCATCCTCCTCCAACATCGTAGCAAAAGCTTCATCAGTGTCATTCCTCCTGGACTCATACTGCGTTCCCTGTCTCATCTCAACTGGTCCGGCAGAGGACCGCCATGTTGAGCCTGGTTCTACAGGAGGTTTCTTTCCAACGGGGAGGTTTTCCTCTCCACCATCCCTTCATGCTTGCTCATCATGGACAGGTTCTCCCAACCTATGTTATCTAAGCTGGACATCCATCTTCCAGGTCCCTGTGTGAAGCTCTAGTATCAGCTCACCCCATCCACTGAATCTCCCCATAAAGCTCAGCATATCATCTCGCTACCAGCAGTCTACAGACAGACCAACTTCATCTATCTCCACTCCACCACCAGCTTCAGGCCTAGGGGGGAAATAGCCCTATTCTTTGCTCCTGTTCATGCATATCTATCAAAATGAAGTGCTATGTTTCCTGCCGAGGTCTGAGCGCCAAAGAGAAAGTACTTTTATAAATGCATTTCTTCTAATTGTCTTTTCTCTTTGTGTGAGTTTTTCAGATTGAACTGACTATAATTTCTTGCCAATACCCCCTGCTAAATGTACCTACATGTGCCTCCTCATCAATGACCATTTCCTGCTCTTAGAACAGGTACAGACTAAAGAGGTGCTCTAGAAAAGGCCCTCAGCCTGAACTCACTCTCCACACGATCTGGTGTTTCTCTGAGCTGCCAACCCCTCACCCTCTCTGACATCACCATAGCTCCTGTTTCCCAGCTGCTTCTCTATCCTGCAGGTTAGTGAGGCTGATCATTCCCTAATAGCGATTAGGTAACTGTTCTTTCTCCCCACAGAGTTTGAAGAAAACTTTACACCTGTTTACAGATCAATAAGCCTTTGTTCTTCTGAGGTTTCTAAATTTCCTTGTCCTGAGTGTAAATCCCCACAGCACTGATTTATCTCCCTTACCGTCCATATCAGAGCTGAAAAAACAAATCTGGCTCGTCGTCTGACCTTGTTCTTCACAGCTTCCATCGTTTGAACATATTTATTGCTCTGATCATAATAACGGGAAAGATTGGCGGAGAACCTAATTCCTTGTGGCATATTCTTGATTTCATGAAGATAGACTTGTGCGCAACTTCTTTTTCCTGTTTGGCGACCCCACTAAGAGACATTTGCCCCTGTGTCATTGTTTTTAGTAAACTTGATAAAAAAAGTGAAGTAGATGTAAAAAAAAAAAAAAAAAAGAACATTCCTTTTTAGGGCAAGAGGTTTTTTTTTTTCTGGACTGATCAAATATACCCAAATGGATTCTAAGTACTTTCAGGCATTAAAAAAAACATATACATTTACTTTAAGGCTTGTTTTCTTTTTTTCACTACGGATGTCAATAAGTTGGGAGAGCGCTGTCTTCCAATTCACCAGGACAGGACAGAAAAACCTCAAAGCACTAATGAAGATAAATGGGTACAAGAAAGTAGGACCTGTAAGGCAGATCCCATCTATTCTGTTGATGGGAATATGAACTATAGCTTTGATCCTCAGGAATTTAGATGCATTACCTAAATGACAGAAAGCTTAAATTGTAATACTTGCTATGAGCCTCTTTAGATAGAAAGTCATGCATATCTATCAGTCTGTTATTTCACTGCAAAAGCTGCACATTTCTCAAGGGTAAAACAATGTTTAGCCTAATTGTGCTAACCCCACTCCACCATACTTCATCAGTTCACTCCCTCATTTTACCTTTCACTCAGTGTTGAGTTCCTGTTGCCTGATGGCTGTTTGGAGGACTTGGTTCACTCTGATATCTGTCGCCTCCATAAGCATTAATAAAGTGGAATTGAGCTGCTCTGAGTTGACATCGAGGAGACAGATGGAGCAGCTTTCTACAGGACACTGAGCAATGGCAGCTCCAAACGAAGGATAGAAACCGCAAAGAAACAAGACTGCATTCGGAGCAGGGCAAGATGTGAATGCTGAGGAGTTATTGCTTTCTAATTCAGAGAGTGGCAGCAGCCATATAAAGACACAAGGTAAATGGAGTTTCCATCAAATGGAGACAAATTGACTTACCTTCAGGCAATGTGTTAAATAACTATTTTATGCAATGCTTGTATCTGTGTTAGAAGTAATGGCAAGGTGACAATAGAGTAAATTGACAGCTATCAGATTTACAACCTGCCTTTTCAGATTGTGGGAACCATCTTACATGATAAAGCTGTGTTGTTTAACAGGAACAAATTACACTTAGAGTACCATCATTCCAAGGATCTAGTAAAGGATCAACACACTGCCTTGCTGTGGTTTTTATTACTATTTTGCTAATACATATATATTTGTATTACCTTGAGATTTCATGCTGTGAACCAACACAAAGTAATAATGGATTACTTTAGACAATACCTTCCTATGAACCTTATATTATATATATGGTACACAAGAAATATTTCTGCTGTGTGTTTACTCCATGTTTTTATTTTGACATTAATATCTGGTAGAGCATGAGAAATAATGAAAGCACAGCCTATTCTATTTGATGTATTCTCCCCACAGGCACCAGATCATTATCCCACTTCCTATTTCAGCTTTATCACTGAGTTAAATAATTTGACTGCAGAAGTCTGTAGGGGCCCACAGTGTAATGGCAGATCCACAACTGAGAAATGTCAAGTGAGAAACTTGAGTGAAAGCAGACGTGACTTTTACAAAAGGACTTCAGCACCGTTATCAGGAAATTTTATTAAATGAGATAAGACCACAAAACAATCGACGGTGGTAAAAAAACTGTAAATAAATAAAACTTTTGCTCATTCGAAGGAGAAATAAGTAACACAATTTCATCCTCTGATAGCTTTGACTGGGTTCCTCCAGTTATGGAGGAGGAAGACACAGAGTCAAGAAAAAGAGACATCCTTTGACCCAGACAGAATGGCATTTTTTTCTGATCAGACATCGTATTCTCATGTGTTATTCTAGCTGCCTATTTTGCAAAGGTTTGCATTTCAGCTTGAGGTAAAAGGTTCAGTACCGAATACATTTCATGAGACAAATGAAGCTTTAGCAAAAATTCAATCTTATCAGCTTCACATGAACGAACTGCGAAGTTCCTTGAACAGCTCCAGCCAATCAACTCCAGCGAATGTTGATTCACAGCATCAAAGTCTTCTGCCGGGGCCTGAGCACCAGAAAAGTTATTTCTTTTATATCATTGTCTGTTTCTGTCTCCTTGAACCCCAGTCGGCCTCAGCAGATGGCAGCTCACACTGAGCCTGGTACTGCTGGAGGTTTCTTCCTGTTAAAAGGGAGTTTTCCTCTCCACTGTCGCAACATGCATGCTTGGTGTGAGGGATTGCAGAGAGTCAATGAGTCCGCGCAATCAGATGGATTTCCTTAGATAGAAATATTTTGAAGAGTATGAATGTCTTACCAGTATAAATAAACTGAATACTTTTATAATTGCAGCTGTTATCAGTGTGAGTCTCCCAAGGTTGAAATATATTTTGTTGAATTTTCGACTGCAAGAAGCGTGTGGTTTTCTAGGACTACTCTTTATTTGCATCCGTTTCCAGTGCATCTACCAGACTAAAGGCAGGTTACCCCAGAAAGCATCCACAGGCAGAAGGTGTGTTTTTATTTCTCCTGAACCCGTTAAGACTGTGCTTTGTGAGAAAGTGTGCTACATTTTTCACTGGTGGAATACTGGCTGTACAGCCAGAGCTTTATAGCTAAGCCCATATTTGTATGTCATTAATCATTTCAGTAGTTATTGGAAAACCCTTATTTTGGCATTGCAGCAACTATATTGGAAAGAGACAAATGCTTATGGTTTCTACAAAACTTTTTTGCATGTTTCTACTGGTATTTGTGCTCATTACAGTGAAAGTTAATTTTTTTTTATAAGTTCTAATTCTTTAAAGTTAAAAGCCCTGAATGGCTTTAAATATTTGCCCCTCAACAAATCAGATTCAAAGCTCTAATTAAACGCTACCCAAAAATTAAAACATGGCTTTCAATCTAAATCTATCCAGAATGAGTCTACAGTAGACTTAAAATGGTGTTTCAGTGACAACTTATCCAAAGCTAAAGGATGAATATTAGAACACCAACTTCAGGAAAGTATGTTTTGAGCTCAGTACCTCAGACTTGATCTTGTTGTCTCCAAAGCAGAGGTGCTGAAGGTAGGCTGCAGCGTTAGACTGGACTGACGGGAACTGATGCTGCAACATCTGGATCACCTCTGGCAGCTCGGGATCCCTCCAGCCAAACTCCCTACAGACACCAAACAGACAAGATAGAGGTGACCTGTTACAAAGGAGCTTTATTGGTTTTATTCTGTGATCCTAAGTTAAAACACACATGAGAAAACAAGGATTAACAGATAAGAGGAGCAGAAATACAGGGTGAAAATGAACCATAAGAAAGCAAGTGCAAAGATTTTCAGCAAGATTTAAAGGACCTGTTTAACCTCACACTATACATTAGTGTTCAAAATGTAAGATAGGTAAAGAGTAGTGAAATTTATTTTATTTTTCTCTCACCATACAAGAGTTGTCATGAAAATGCAACATCAAACAAAGTGGACATTGAGACGTTGGCTTCTTCGTTTTAAAGTGGAGATTATTCACAAAACTCAATTACTTGGATATTTAAGATATCTGTGCGTCCCAATTTCCCCAACAGTAAATCCATGGCAACATTTCAGATCGTTAAAAATCAAAGTTGCGCCCAAAAGATAAATGTTTTTTTCCCAGTTTGGCTTATGCTCTAATGATTAAATTGACCATTAGTCAGTCACTGGATATCTGCATATTTAAGTTGTTTTTTCACACACTATGCTTTTCATTGCCTGCATGCTGATAGATTTCAAAAGTAGGAAAAAACTGTTAGATCTTGCTTCACTATAATTGATGATCACATGTTTAGAATTGTTGATATGATCTAAACTCTTTTGGCCAAGGTTATACTAATATACCACCATATTCTCATCAAACGGAAGTCCCACATACAAAGCACTGTGTAAGCGCTGGCAGCACTTTGACTGGATGTGAGCTCTTATTAAAAACCCTTTAATTGAACATGGCCATTCAGAGACACTTATTCTGAGGTAAAAAAGCAAGTAGCTCTTGATTTGCCCTGCTATGTTGACAAAGTCAGCTAATTAATAGGGCACGCGGAACTCAAGAGGAGCACCAACTCATTTTGTCTATATCAGACCATAACAGATGATAATAATGCTGACTAAACCTTCCAATGGCACTAAATTATAGAATTTTTTTTTGCCACTTTTTAGTGATTCAAGGAAGAAGGGGTGCCCAAGTCCAGGCCTGCAGAGCTACTATCCTGCAACTTTTTAATGCACACCATTTTAAACAGACCTGAACCAAAGGAGTTGGTTAACATGCCTCTGTTTAACTAAATTAGGAAATTGAGCCTTTCGATTCAGGTGTGTTAGACAAGAGATGCATCTAAAGGTTATAGGTTGGTAGCTCTTGAGAACTAGACTTAAGAACCCCTTATTTAAGATAGTATGACTGATCAAACTTTAATTGGATTAATATGTTTTTGACAATTTATAATGGTAAAAACAGTAAGAGTAAATTTTTTCAATCCTTTTGTTGGTTATTATAATCAAAATAGATTAGAAATACTAGTCAAATCTGGATTTTTTTTTATTTGTAAGAACAACATTGGGATTTTTTTTGTTTATTTAAAAGGTTTTAAAAAACATATTTCATCTCAATCCCATTTACCCGAAGCTTGTATTTTCTTGGTTTAGAAGACTGCAGAGTCATTACACCTATAGCATAAAGTGACAAAACTTTCAAATATGACCAACTTAAAAATGATTTGTTCTTTTCTACAAATATTTATAATGAACTGACTGGATGGCCTGCGATGGACTGGCGACCTGTCCAGGGTGGACCCCGCCTCTCGCCCATTGACTGCTGGAGATAGGCACCAGAACCCCTCGCGACCCCACTCGGGACAAGCGTGTCAGATAATGGATGGATGGATGGATGACTGGATGGCTCCAATTCACTGTGTACTCCCATTAAATATAGTACCATACCCTAGAATTATTTTGTACCTATACCAATACATTTGAAACTTACTGAATCAGTTTATTTCTACTTTCAGGTAAGAATTTCCAGTGTTTATGGAAATAATAGAGAATTTGTATTAAAAAGGCTACGATTCAATTGGGCACTTGAATTTTCAACTACTTTTTAAAAATGTTATATATTGGAAACTTCAGACCCCTTGAATCTTGTAAAATGTGATTGATTAAACTAACTGCTGCTTGGTATTATCTAATGTCTTATTTAAGCACACTTTTATTTCTGCTATTATCTGTCATTATTTATCCTGTATTACAACTGTACTGTACTGTACTGATATATATATATATATATATATATATATATATATATATATATATATATATATATATATATATATATATATATATATCCTAACTTTCCTGTATAATCTGTATATAATTTAATATTTATTTCAAAGGTTCTTACAATTACTCTCTGTATATATATGCCATTTATAAACAATGCATTCAGTTCATCGTCTCTACACATGTAAATAAATATTTATATCCAGTATAGCACTTCTGGATAGATGCAAACTACATTTCGTTGATTTTTAATTGTGACAGTGTAATGACAATAAAGTTGAATTCTGTTCTGCTCTATTATATTCTATTTATATAGCAAGAAGATGATAAATAATAACCTTAAAACATTGGTTATCAATGCAGGTACAAAAGTCTGCATGGCGGGTAAGAAATGGAAATGTTGAGCATGAAACAAAATACTACAAAGGTATGAAAGGTGCAGGGGGCAGAAGGATAAGCATTGGTTTCATCGATTTTAAATAAGATCTCAGCGTACTTTAGTACTATTTTAGTTTGGCCTCACCTCTTTCTTGTGAGCTGTTTACACCATTATATGCTTAGTGATCCACAAAGACCTTTAAAATTATCCACTGATTGACTACATCATCGATTTTCTAGATTCTTCCTCTAAAGCACTTATTAAAACATAAAATGTATTGTTTTGGGGAAGAGAATGAAGACCGGTGCTTTAACCAGTCTGGGTCTTCCTCTTGCAGAGATCTAAACCCCTTGCTTCAAAATGCCCAGAGATGTTCTGGGTTTAGCATGTTAGCAGGGGTCTACAGGGATCCATCCTCAAGGTTTGGCATAGAGACACAGGCAGTCCCATACACACCTTTTATCATGTATGGATCTCTGTATGGGAAAAGGGAACATGGACAGATGGGAAAAAAGATACAAACTGAGAGGAAAGACGTCTGGGAGAGGCATCAAAGTACATGATGGGGTGGGTTTTTTACCAATAAAGATCATCTGCTGGACCAAGTAATCCCAGTTGTGGATAAGTATAAAGTTTTATTCCCCTACTTAGTTCTTTTTACTAATGTTACTACCTGGATACTAATCCAGCATCGCAGTCGTTATACAAGATTTAAAGATTCTCTGCATGCTTTGTCTTCTTTCTTTCTGAGTTTCCTTCTACTTTGATTTAAATCTCTTTGACAGTGCAGAGAAGTTAGAGCTCCACACAGATACTCCATTTTCTGGGATCTGGTGCAAAACTACTTTCTCTTTGATGTATCTTATTCTTGATTCAAAAACAGTCTAACGTCCCCAAGGACATGATTTCTGTTGGCTCCAATCAAAAATAAACACATGGACACACACGCACATTCTTTCATAAGATGCCGTAGGTCATTGTGCTGCGTCAAAATAGTATTAGTTATCATTCACTAAGTTCTGTGCCTTACTATAGGAGCCAACAAACATCACATTTGTACGCTCATTGACTTGCACCCACAGTCAGCCATCAAAGGCTGAACAAAAGAGCCAGGATTAGAAAGCCTTTGTCTCTAAGTTTTATAATGGGCCAATGCTATAAGCCCAGTGTTTGAAAAAGAAAAAATGAAAAGAATCATTTCAAAGCTAATTTTTCCTCTCTCTCTTCTAAACAATTCTCTATTTTTGAAAATCTCTTGTCTCCACATCTCTCATTCATCCTCCGCCTGCCTCGAGGCACATTCCCACATAAACATCCAGAGCCATTTAATGCTCTTCACAGGCACATAAAGAGGAAGCATGTGTCTCAATGGGATGTGATTAAAGATGACATACCCTTGTATAGGTCACTTCTTGGGTTAACAAGCTGATAAGACACCCAATGCTATGCCTGAGCAGGCTAATGCTAGTGTTTCTGTGTGTGTATTATTATTTTTTTTTTATCGAGAAAGCTTACACACTCACAACCGGTGCATACATTAAACTTCTTAAATAAATATTATCCAAAATGTGTTTATTTTGAATTAATCTAATTAAGGCTTTATGCTTCCCTAAGTGAAAAAGAGAAACATTTAGCATAATCTGCAAAGATATCAGGTTAATCTGGTTAATCCTTGGGTAACAATTCCAGATGTTCAATGTTTAATACATGCGTTGCAGTTCAAAACGTTTCACTTCAAAGGTGCTATATTTTCAGTGCATGCCATTAATTTGAGCAACTGCACAACAAATAAAATTATACAAATACCAAACTGGAGCATAGATATTAAATAGGTAATATTTAGATTAGCCTTTTTTTTTATCAATTATCCCACTGGATATTTCAAGCAAAGGGTTCATTTCTTAACATGCAAACTATTTTTTTTACATCATCCTCAGCAAGGTTTTCTTTTTTAGAATCACATGGACATTTATTTCATTGGATAGAGAAGTCCGGTGGTAATGCATCGCTGCAACCAGATGGATCACAGATATAGCAGACAGTTAACTTCAACTCCCCTATTTCCTTTCTTAGTGGAGCAGAGATCAATGCAGCAAAAGTATAGGTTATGCACTGTGAGATGATGTGAAACATCTATAATCTATTGCTGTTGCCATTACTCTTTACCTATGCAGGTCCCCTACGTGTGACTTAAAAATGGGAGTGACAGCACAGATATGATGTGTGGAAACAAAGGGAATTGTGCACAAGACTGAAGCTTGATAGAACCGTACAGCAAATTTACAGTGACAGACAGCTCTATTCTTATAGAAAAAGACAGCAAGAGATGAATCACTTGTCTTGTCTGTTCAAAGGGCAGAAAATGGATCTGTTCTGGAACACTACACTGCAGGTGGGTTGGGTTTGCACCCTTTGGTCCATACCAAGACACCTCATCTCACTAAAGTATCAGCTCAGTAGATAAGCACTAATGATGTAGGCTGTGTCTGAATGTTGAAATTCGTAGAAATGTGACCAATGATGCAAATTAAAACTTTCATGGGCTTAAAGGGTAATATAGTCTATACTTTGGATATGTCGTTTTATTTGAGGTGGAAAGAAAAAGTGAAAAATCATAAAAAAATAACTTTATTCTATGTCGAAAACCTAAAGTGTAAAAACTCCCTGGAAGAAGGGTATAATGGTTTGATTTTTGGGAGAAAAAACACAATAGGAATGGTTTTCCAGATGATGTGTTAAGCTATAGCTGCAGGATATCCTTAACCAGGGATAAAGGTCCTTTTCCTTACTGACAGACTTGGGAAATAGAAAAGTATCTGTTTTGAACATAGACCTGTATTAACCATCGTGTTTGCTTTATTTTGCAGTGGTTCACTGTTAAATTGAATCTTTTAGGCTTGGACAAAATACTGTAATGATAGAATGAGTGATGTCCGTCAGTAGTTTTCATGAACAAGGAATTTGGTTTTGGTGAGTCACCTGTACACACCATAACAGATAAATGTATCGACTGTGTTGTTCACATTTCGGTTTCTTACGTTTTCCAAAGTCAAATTTTCATAGATGCACAAGTTCAGCCTTAATTTCTATTTCCATTAAAGAATGACTTTTCATAAATTTAGAGAAAAACATCTTGAATAAAGTACTCTTTACTCTAATACGACAAAAAATCACATTCAGTTCAATCATTTGCCTTAAACATTCATCTAATTTGTAAGTACTGTCTATTTCTATGTAATTCAATCTCATTTGTTATACAGCTGTTCTGTGAAGCCTCAGAGGTTTGTTAGAGAACATTAAATGCATAACAACCCAGAGCAAAGCTCCAAAATCAAACATTTTGGCTTATATACAAAATACGTGTGGTGGAAAACTAACACTGCATATCAACAAACACTACCGAGCCATCTGTATATCTAGGGGAAGAAATAATCACACAGACAATTATATCTGTACGCGTTCAATGTTCTTTAACTTAAGAAGAATGTCTGCATGTAGTAAATACAATGAAATCTGTTTTTTTAAGAGTCTGTGTTTCTGCTTAAACTATCCAAGTCCAACTATTAGGTCAATTCTATTATGGTTTTGGTTTGGTTTAAGTTTTCTTTTTGGGTTTTCATTGGTTTTATTTCAATTTTGTGTTATTCTAGTTGTTTTTGGTTGTATTTGAGTACTTATTTATTTCTTGTTTACCCTCTGTTTTTATCTTTTGTCAGTCTCCTTCCCTTAGCTCGTCTTCTATCAACACCTGCTCCGAATCTGCTAATGAGCCTAGTCTTTGTTCATTCTCCCATTTATACTTCTCTTCAGTTACTGTTTTCTGATTCCTTGTCATCTTTTTGCCCCACATGTGTGTTTTCCCTTTACATCTCCTGGATTTCTCTATTTTGTTTGTGGACTTTTGCTTCTTTTGCCCTTTGGAACATTATTAAATCAGCACAATCAATCTCTGCATCCTTCCGTCTCTGCTTTTGGGTCTTCAAATTACCTTCCACCTAACCTAACAAATTCATTGTACTAGGACACACCACATTTTTCTACCGATGTGATTTCTACTCCTAAAAACATGGGTGGGCAATCCCACTAAATATGTTTTTCTATGGAATACTGTTTTCTCATAGCTTAAAAGTTCATGAAATCACAGATGAATGTTAAAATCTAATACCATTGAACAATGAATTTAGACAGCAGCACATAGAGATGTAAGGATGCTACAGTTAAAGTGTTTCATATTATCTGTTTTTTTTTTTTAAGAATTAAAACAATATTTAAGTGTGGAGTGTTTGACTTCTTATAGCTCTGCTTCTATTCTTGCTCCTTGGTCTCGCTTAAGTTTTCCAAACCCCAAAATAACTTTATGTCAGTAAAATTAATTAAAAAGTAGAGATAAATAAAGGCAAATAAACATTCAATTTACATGCCAACACCAGACCTGGTCACAAGCAAAACAGTTGAAGATTTATCGCCCTATCATAAAAATAGAACCTCATTAACAACTGACAGAAGGCTAAAAATGATTAAAAGAAATAAAAACATCACATTAAAAATAGATAGGAAACAAATTAATTGACCTAGCTGTTACAAAGCCATTCCTAAATCTTTGTGACTCCAGCAATCCACATTTGAATACATAATCTAAAACAATGAGAACATTTAGCAGTACTGAAAGCTTTATAGAAGTGATTAATCTATATACATTACTCTATGAGGGCCTCTGTGACTCATCTTAGAAGCCACAAAAGAACAAAAATATTTTGTCTTACCATGAGTACCCCTCTCAGTCAAAGGTTTGCTGATTGTCCCAAAGTGGAATGTACAGTATCTGATTATAAAATAAGATTAGTTTACTTAGTCTTTTAATTTGAATATTTAGGCATTTTATGTTTTCCATCTGAAAAAAAAAGAAAATACATAAATATGTTGCCTGGAAGTTAGTAAGGAATCAAAACAGATGCAAAATAAAATCATGTTATAAACCCATATTTATAAAACTGGAGCTCCTCTGAGTAACTCCGCTATTATTGTATTTAAACTTGATGACTTGGGAAGAAAATGCAGAACAAAACTTATAGTCAGGCTGACTTAATTAGTTTTACTTTGTTTTCATCAAAGTAAAACTAATTTGAGCTTGTTTGATGAGCTGTGATAGCTTAGTGGGAAAAACAGCAGATAACACCAGGTAACACCAAAACACCAGCCTGTTCTCTACATCCAGTCTGTTCCTCGGCTTGGTTTGGATGAGTGTCATAGCTAAAGGTGAACTCAAACATTGAAGAAAAACTTAATTTTTGGTTGATAAAAGCTTGTTTAATTTTTCAATTGAGTCCCCTCAAAGCAAAACAGATCTATTCTATTTTACTACCTAAGAAATAAAATATTTTCATGTCCCCCTTGCAATACACGGTCGGACCAGTATGGGTTATAAGTACCCGCGGTTGGGAATCACTGCAATAACTGATGAAACCATGAATTCTGATCTCACAGAGAATCCTGTGAAATACAAAAAGCAAAGAAGTAAAAAGTTCCCTTTGGATTACATCTTGGCCAATGTCCCCTATTTGGGTCTCATCGCCTAAAGGACACTGTTCAAGATGTCTTGTCCGCCATTAAGACACCACTTTGCAACCCAAAGTTGTTCCACCATGTTATTTTTGTTTCAAATTACTCTCTGTAAGAAGATATACTGTAGTTGTTTGTTCTGCTTTCCAATTGCAGTGCCTTGCATATTTTACATACTGGAAACTTGAAGAAATAATGTATTGTTCTGTTTGTTTAAGAGCAGATTTTTTACTTGGTGACAATAAGGTCCTGAACACCAGAAACTGTATTGTAACTGAAATATTTGCCGCATGTGAATAACCCCGCCCCATTTAACCCGGGGTCAAGCTCCATGCACAGCTATCTTCCCCAACCACCTTTTTTTTTTTTTTTACACATATATACATATATATACATATATATACATATATATACATATATATATATATATATATATATATATATATATATATATATATATATATATATATATATATATATATATATATATATACACACATAAAAAGCCTAGGTATACTTATAACATAATCAATATAGCAAGATCTTTAAGTATTTTGCAAATCCAGATGCTGTGATTGCTCTGTTAGAGTCAAATTATTTCTTCTATATATTTTTTGAAGAAAAGAGGCTGCTTGTTTTTTGGGTCTGAACACACTTTCCAAAGCTCACTTTGGAGAGTCCATTTTAATGATAAGCTAGCTACAGCAATCAGTATTAAATCTTTGGTAAGTAGTAGCACTGTTGTACTTAGGTTTTATGAATAGTTCTTAAATTTTTTCATCTTTGTTTAAACCTGTGGAAGTTTGTTATATGTGTACTTGATGTTAGATTTAAATAAATATTTAAGAATAGTAAAGACCAGTTCATTTTTAAACTTCAGTATTCAAAACTTTAAAACTGATGTAATTTCCTTTTCTCTTGATCACTTGCTCTATGTATTTTTGCTTTTAGTTTTAACACCTCTTTAAAGCTGGACAATTTTGCAACATCAAAGAGATTTGAACATATATTTTTTATAATTCTATAAATAAAGTGCTATTGCTATAGCATTAATACTTGTCAAACTTCTAATTTCAATAACAATGACTTATCTTATATTTGGGCATTCTTTTTAGTCAGATGCAAGTATGTTTACAGAAAAGTTTGGTGTTTTGCAATAATTTGCTCTTAAAATAAAGATGAAAAAGAGTAAAAAAATTAAAGTCAGGAGCTGAAATTAAAACTAGCCATCCACATGATCACAGCCAACACCAGATGGATTAGGAAATCCCACAAACAAACAATGAAGACACGCATATGACTAAATGAACCAACCAGCTGATAAATCAATGAAATGATGAATGGAAGATGAAAAGGAGAGAATGAGGAATATTTACTCGCCGAAAAACAAAGACAATGCATTATTTTTGCAAACTGTACACATAGCAAATAAAACACCAATTGTTTGTATGCTAAAATAGAGAACGCAGCCTATTTATTTCAAATTTTAGCATCGAACTTGGATCTGATTTCTAATCCAGTTCCTTTTAAAATATCACACTTCAATAAACTTCTAAATGGGTGACAGTACATATATGGAATGTTGTCATGCTACCATTAACATTGGATCAAATATCGGTGCCATATAGAAAAATGATGGAGCCATTCAGTGAATGAGACAAAGGGAAGATAGACAAAATGTACATATGTAAGAATAAATAGTTGGATTACTTTGTCATTCTTTGCTCGGCTTGATTTTGATTCCACACAAGGAATTCAGGGTCGTACCTATCGAGGGGGGACAGGCAGAGAGAAACAAGAGAGTTGTAGACGTTCCGTGTCTTGCAAAAAGTTATTCAATAATTTTCAAAAATAATTAGGATTAGTAAATAGAAATCAAGACGCAATCGCTAGACTCATCTTTCTCTCTCAACATTTGGTTATCAGGCAATGGTGGAGAAGGACTGGGTGGAAGGCATGCATGCTGGCAGGGTGGGTGGAAGGAAGATGGTGAATATGACAGGCAAAGAAAGGCTCTTAGAGAAATCTTAGCTCCATGTTCTCCACTTCTCTATTAACTTATCATGTGATTAATGGTCTGAAATGACCCTCTTTCACATTTAATGGATGACTGTTTTCTTCAAATTAAAGCGATCAATAATCTAAGGAATGGTAGATATATTAGAGCTGCTATGTTACGAGTTTATTTTCTGTACACTAGTGTACATTAATTACATACATTAAAAATGATATATGAATAAAAATGTACTCTTAAGAAATATGGGGTGGCTACTTTTTAATGTTTATTATAAATATTATCTATATAGAAAAGTGAGTTCCTGACATATAGTTTTTGTAAGAATGTGTTTTATTTATTTATTTATTTTCAGGCAGATTGGGAAATAATGAGATAAAAGCTATGTTGACATCTTGGCCAAGCTTCAAAAACTGGTACTTCTGAGCCGTACTCGTCTTTTTGTCAAAAAAACAAAAATCCCACATAGCAAGGATAGATTATAGTCCTTGCAGTCTTCTAGACTGCTAAATTATTTTCAATGATATTAAATATACAATTCTAAGATCATTTTAGAGAGTTTTAGTTCAATTTAGTTCAATAAAATCCTGTAATTAATTCCGGATGAACTGTCAGATTAAATTCATTAAGACGATTATCTTATGAACGTTGTTGATTTTATTGGAAAACATTTTAAACAATGGCACTATGTGATTGACAATAGACACAACTAAAATCATAGTCTTTGTAACTGGCTTTCAATATGAAATTAGATGAAATACAATTTTATTAATCATGGATATTCTTTTAGAGAGATTTTTAACAATAATAACAATGTGAGGCATATTAAACAATCACTTGAAGATAAAATTCCCAGCCTCGATCTGAATAACTCAAATCGGTGAGGACACTTAACCGAGTGTGGAACTGCATTCCAGTCATCATAAGTGATATCTGAACTGTGCTGACAGTTAGGAAGCAGAAAGGACCAGGAAGCAGAATGATTTCTAGTGCCAATGCAGTTAGCAAAGAGACTTTCTGACTTCCCTAGACACTGTTATGAGCTATACAGTTGCCCACAATCCTTTGCACGACAGGAGTTATAGGCACAAAAAATCTCACAGAGTAACAAAAATACATTACTTTGTGATAAGTACGCTGTGTGACACATGCTAATGCACACACCTTCATGTGTTTTGGGTTTTATAATGGAGAGGTTTAGCCGTTCGCTAAATTTCTGTAACTTTTAGCCCCAATTTGAACAGCGTAATTTATGTGTGTCCACCACATAAGGACTTGCGTAAGACTAAAAGCTGCCTGGATTCACAACCACAGTGCAGAGCTCCTTTTCTAACCTGGAGAGTGTTTTGTTATTTTTTAAAGGGAGAGGGATACAGGTAGGAGATACAATTTGGACCCTTGTCCAATTCCAAATGAAAGTTATTGAAATATTTTACAACAAGAGCTGTCTACAGTTTAAATGTGCTCCTTTCTTTGTGGCTTGGGATCAAATTTAATGACGTGTTTCAGCCGCTTTCTGTGCAAAAGGTGCTGGCCTATGTTGCACGACAGACACTTAGAGGGCTGCACCCAGCCAGAACTAACTCTGTTGTACTATTGATGTCATTGTTCAGGGTAAAAAACAATTGGAGTTTTGGAGAGCCCGAGATTTGTCAGATTAACACAACAACATGCAAAATCTATACATCTTTTTTATGCTTTTCACGCAAAACTACGCTATACTTGCTCAAAGCTACCATACCAGACTGGGAAACCCTACTGCTCAGCTTGCTAGTGCAGACTATGTCACTATTTAATATATCACTGCAAGTTAAAAATCAACACAGGCTTGATTCAGAAATACTGAGTAGAAATAATTTGAATTTGACTGAATTTAGGATAAATCATGAGTAACTGTTTTCAAAATTGTCTTCAGACAAACTTTGTTGTGTACGGATAGAAAATACATAAATTCAGTTGAAATAAATGTAGCAAAACTGATGGGATTTGTTGAAAAATAGATATAGATCAAATGTCTTAAATGTTATGTTAGATCACATAATTGTTGTATAAGTACAGTCATATAGGGACAATCCCTGAAATAGTGGAGCTGTATATGGCTGGCACAGATTCTGGATGTGCATGTTGTAAACATGAAGCAAAATGCTATGAACTGCAAGTCCATTTGATCAATGTAGCGGGGCTGATGTGTTGTGAGTACAAAACAATGATGCCAGAGCAAAACAGTGAGCAAACAGACAAGGTGGGTGCAATATGCAAAGAGAAAAAATCACTTTAACGGTGGGTGAAGAAAAGAGCAATGAAAACAGCAGGAACAGGAGCCGCCTGCTCTAAGTTGTTCGCTTGTGATACACATTTTTAGGGTCATTCTCATTAAGTAATTAACAGTGTGAAACGCAAAGCTGAAATGTCACATTGAGATACTTGAACTTCATTCAGACTCTTTATATTGTTAAAATCAGTCATAAGTTAGAAAAAAAGAACTAGCAGAAAGAAATTCTGTCACATTAGGAATATCGTTTTAAAGACAGAAGAAGCAGCCTTCAAACAGCTATTAAGCTGTCTTTGTTTGAATCTCTCTTGACGGGTCCTATTTATCTCAAAGTGTCTCCATCTTGCTTCCACACTTGCATGCAGAGCACTGTTCCTCTTAAAGCACACTTTACGCAGGCTTTCCACGTCAAACGTTTCTCCCAGCTGCATCAAATGTAACTGATTGCTGCTGACAGAGACGAATTTCACTCCTAACACTGAGGGTAAACTTTAAAACAGGACCTAGGAGTGTGTGCAGGCATTCGAACAGTTGTGTGAAAGAGCTTCAAGACCAGTTAAACCAGAGGGGACAGTGAAAGATGTGGCATGATGTGCGCCTCATACTAAAGCCCAGATTCAGCCAACCTTTTTGTCTACCAAACTGTCAAACACTGACAGTTAATTATCTGTTGCTACAGACTGTTGAAGCAACACTTATCTTTGGCACCCATTTGTTGTTCACTACTAAATTCTGTCAGTATCAATATTTCCTCTCAGTAAGGAGTAATACTTGGAGAAAAAAAAGATTCTTTGGTGAATCTGGCCCTCAGTACATTTTGTGAAAGTGAAGAGGAAGCAGAGCAAAGGGCCTCATCAACAAGCCAGAGCACAGATGTCTTGCTTTTTCCTCACCTTGGGTCCTTTTGGATGCTGTCCACAGATGGAGACCTGCCAAGAGCAGCTTCAGGGGGGAGTGCCGGGCCTGACTTGCTGTAAGGGGACTCGGTGGATGGACAGAACTGTAGAGTGCGATACGGATTGGCGTAATCGGCCGCCCCACCTCCTGTAGCGAAACTGCCTCTCTGGAAGGTGCCTGCAGCGCTCTGGCTTCCAGTTCGCTGCAAGGGGATTGGGTCAACACCAGGGGAGGACGGGGCTAGAGTGGGAAGAGGAGCGTAAGGATAAAACAGATAGTTGAGGACCTCTTGGTACAACTGGTTCACCACTGGGGTTTAGGAAGCAGGGTTTGATTCGGCAGGGTGAGTGAAGGTAAAATTAAGCACAGGAAAGAAAAACCCCAACCGGAGGATCCGTGTGTGGGAGCAGGAGCAGTAGAAAGCAACAACACCGGAAGGGAAAATAAAACAGAAGCAAATGTCATGAAGCAAAGTTCAGGGGAGCAAGTGGAACAATATAAGGTAAAATTATTTAATTAAACAAAAAAATCACATAAAATCCATCTGAAACTTAAAAATTAAAGCCTATTTAGCCAATTTTTGTTCTACTTCTGGCCCACTGGAAAGGACATAGTGGTCCAGTCTGCTAAAAGCAAAACATTTGGTTGCTGCATTTGTAAATGGTGATACATTTATACATACTTTAAAATGAAATCTACTTCAAAAGTACTACATAAAAGATAAGCTACAGTAAAATAACCTGATATAAAACAAAAAAATCTGATTAGAAACATGTTTCAACAAGCAGTGTAGTGGTTTTGGTTATATATTGACATCAATAGTTGTATTTAAATTAAGTGATGTTTGTCCTTATTGTTCTTTGCAATATAGTCAAGTCAAATTGGATGGAGAATAAAAATACTTTCTTCTGAACTGCTGTATTTGAAGCTGTTTGTATATGTGGATGTTGCCACTGACCTAATCCTGTCTCCAAGTCTCAGGTCCTTAGCAACCACTAAAGGATGTTCTTCCAAAATCCCCCTATATTCAACTCCATCTATCTTCCCATCTAGTGTGAAAGGCTTTCCAGTCTTGGTGAAAAGGGTTATGCATTTTTAGTTGTAGCTACACATAGTTTTATCTGCACATAACCACACATACTTCAAATAATTGAAATAATAAATGCTGTGATCTACACAGACCAGCAAGCTGCTTTGATTCTCGCTATTTAAGTGAGTAAACAGTGTGTGCTACTAACAGTCTGAGTGTGGTTCCAAAGGAAAGATCAAGGTTTTTGCCCTGGATCTGGAAATTTATTGAAAAGAATTATTAAACAAAATAATAACAATCATTATAACAATGATGAGGAATTTTTATAGTGTACTCCAATTAAAGTACTACAAAAAACTCTAAAAAACATATTAACGTTGGCCCCCCTTTTGATCAATGGGGTGATGATTGTTCCCTGGTGATGTTAACATTAATTTTAATTAATGTTAATTCTTTTTAGACATGTGAGAGTATTTAGGGTAAATACTTTTTTTGAATGCTTGCTTTCGTGTGACGTCACATGGCAGATGAAAGGCATAAAGCAAAGTAGCTATGGACATGCAAAACTTGTAACGGCTACTCCACTATTTCATCACTGAGTGCCAAAGGCTTTAGTTAATCGTGGAGGATAAGGTAAAAAAGCTCAATGCTGGAAAAAGTGGATTTGAAATCTGCGATTGGGCAGAGCAGTCTGCTGGTGCCTCATGTCTGCAACATCCATCATCAGTATTATCTCTGCAACTTTCTTTGTTCGTATTGTTATTATTAAGGTGTAGTACTTAGGAATTATTTTAAAGCAAATGTGAGTCTAATACAGACTGCGTTGAAAGTTTTAGGCTGCCCAGGCTCTTTTGGTATCATTAGGTAGATAGGCTGGGCTCCAACGGTTAATCTTCTCCTATTATGTAAATGTATGAACTAACAGGGATGATAATTATCACAGGCTTTGTGGGGCTAAGATTCTGGACCTACCTGCTGACAAAAAAAGTTATAGTCCTCCAGATCTATAGATGTCCATCTGCTGTAGCAGGATGGATAACCTAATAGTTTGAAATGTCTTTGGTCCATGATTGTTGGCAAATTATTCTGGCAAATTATTGTTTGGTAGAAAACCATTATTTTTATGAAATATGGTTCAAATCCAACATATTTCTTTTTTAAATATTTCATTTGAAACTGAATCCAAATCCCTACAATACTGGCTCACTGCAACTGCTATTTTGCTTAATACTCTCCATCTGTTATCGCATACCATCAAAACCATGTGCCTGAAACCCACCTATTGCATATAGTAAAGGTTGTCTGCAGTCCCAATGCATTAATTTGTGTCAGCATGTTCATATATCTTTATTCCCCTGACTGATATTCACAGAGTCTCCCTCATTCCTTTATCGTATAATCAGTATGTCCTTTGGAGCTACAGCAACCACAGAAATGTTGCATATGAGTTTGCACCTGATTTTCAAAGGTGCTATATTGACAGAAAATCTGCCCCTACCCAGTAAAAACTCCATCCAGCTTTTTAAGCATTTTGCTCATATGAATATGATTTGCATATCCATAAAGGCCCACATGCAAAAAATGTAGCATTCTGTTCTGCTTGTTTTAGACATGCAAAATAATTTTCACCCGCTTTACTGATCAGCTTTTTTAAAGTATGTACCGACAAGTTTGCATGTGTTTTAATATGACCAAGATAAGGCACGTTTGTTTTTAAGCAAGGTCACACATTTCAGTTTTGGACTCATCAGACTAGGACACAGCCTTCCAGTGGTTCCCCTTCATGGCCTGCAGCTAACTTTAAAGAGGGCTTCTAGTAGTTTTCTTCTTGCCGGTCTTCTTTAAAGGTTGTACTTTTGGAGCTGACTTGTGTAATTTTTCCACCTGACTTGTGGATTAAAATGTAAAGAAGTTAGGATTAGAAATAAGTTTTTTTTAAGGCAGTAAAATGTTCTTAAAGACAGTCTAGTGCACTTTAGGGCATGGTGGGATTATCCAGGCTAGAGTAATTCACAAAGTATTGCTTCAAGAGGTCTGCAATCTGACTGAGTGGTAAGACAGGCTAGTGCACCCTAAAGATAAAACCCCCAGACCAAATATGAGCGGAGTGGTATATGCTGTTCAGTGCAGCGAGGAATGCTCTGATCTTTATATTGGCGAAACAAAACAACCTCTCCACAGACGCATGGCCCAACACAGAAGAGCGGCTGCCTCTGGACAAGACTCCGCAGTACACCTACACCTTATGGACAAAGGACATTCTTTTGAGGACCAGAATGTCCATATTCTGGATAAAGAAAATAGGTGGTTTGAGAGGGGCGTGAAGGAAGCCATCTATGTTAAGAGAGAAAAACCAACTTTAAACAGAGGTGGTGGACTCAGATTCCAGCTTCCAAAAACATACAATTCAATCATAGACATGATCCCTTCCAGATATCACCAAACCCCCCACCCCATCACAGAGGAACGAGGGACCCACCCGCCCCAGCCGGTGAACAATACCTCCTTAACGACCAACCCTTAACAATCATAGACAGGTTTCAGGTATTACAGGAGACAATCCCCCCCTTAATGACAATCCCCCCTTTAATGACCGACCCCTAGAATCATAGACAGGTTCAGATATTACAGGCTAACGATGGAACTAACGACCCATTCATCGGTTACCATTGCATGTTTCCAAGCGATACAAGGCGTTGTCTATATAAGACTCAAACTCACTGCGGATCCAGACATTTGAATTGAGAAAGCTTCCTGGAGAGGTGGCGAAACGTCTTCAAATCTTGAAAACCAAGTCCAGTGGATACTTTTTGAATTTTTACGGAATGACTTAAAGACAGTCCTGTTTTTTTCAGAAAAAAAAGTCTTTATCCAGTAATGAAAGGCTAATTAGCAGCCTTTATAGAGCTAAATCTACTTAAGCTTCAATTGTATTGGAAAAGTTTTACTGACAAAAACTTAGGAAACATATTATTACCAAACTTAATGCAGGTTAAGTATAACATACCAAAGCCATATATAGACTCACATTCATTTAATCATTCTTTTTCATAAAAAAAAAAAATTGGTTAAATAAGTGTTTCACTTATATTTTCATAAATTTTCTTGGCTGAGGTGCTAGGCTAAGACTAGCTACAGTAGCTGACATACTAAATAACCCTTGTGTTTTACTCAATATTATTTCTCCATAGTTGATTACCGTAATAATATTAATATCACTTTTGAAGAACATACAGAGGAGGTTTCTACAATATTTTACCACTCAGTCAGATTGCAGACCTCTTGAAGCAATACTTTGTGAATTACTCTAGCCTGGATAATCCCACCATGCCCTAAAGTGCTGAGATTGCTGAGGATTTTTTTTCTTATACCTTTCACTCAGAAAACAAAGGATCACTAAAAGACAATTCAGGAAAATATAGCTATTGTGGACACACTGACTTTCTTTTTGGTTTTCTTTTGTGTTGGTAACAAAAAATCCCCCTGTGATGTTCAGCCTGGTCATTTCCAACTAAGTAACCTCACTGAAGGTCACTCATGAATGCAGAACAGGAAATGGTATGATTTAATTTTTTAATGTTTGATATGTTTCCTTTTGAAGAAAAACAACTAATTATTCACATTTGTATAAATGGAATGTCTGAAAAAACCTATTCTATAAAATGTGTGATGTGGAGCATGCTCAGTTTATAAATTTTTTTTCTGGTATACTTTTATTTTGTTGTAGCGTTCACCAATGAGGCGTCCAAATCTATGGCACCGCTTTAGCAATGTTTTAGTGCACGGTTGATTTATGTTGATTGCATTGAGCCCAAACTAACGCCCTAGGGATTAATTGAGATTAATTTTCATCTTTGAAACTAATTCGCTAACAGACTGTGACTGGAAGACAAATTGCCAGAGAGACCCCAATTGGATTTGCTTACCCGGTCCTGTTAAAAGCAATACATGATTGGATGGAAAAAGAGAGTCTCCGATGTATATTATCTGTTAGTGCAACATAACATCATCAGACAGCTGCTTGACAGAAACCAAACCGTGCCTGTTTCTTCTTCTTTTTTGCTTTGTCTGTTTGATCCATCACTGTATTCTACGTATCACATGGTGACATCTTTTACAGGATGGTGTCAAAATAAAATGCTTCAGTGAATAAGAACACACCATAGGTATTTATCTCTGTTCTTTCCTGCCACCCTTACGGCCTGTGCATTCTTTAGCAAACCCGTTGAATTTCCCATTATGCATTGTTTTATTTTACCTGAGGGGACTCTCTGGATATTTTATAAAATGAAACTAATGCCTGGTAAGTTATTAACAATTTAAGGCTTTATGTATTCCAGTCATTTAGGGTAACAGCTGCAATAACTTGGTTCAGCTTTGTTTAATTTAGGTCTTTTAATAAGACCCAATGGAAAGCATTGCTTAAAGTTGCCTATGAAAACACGCTAACTCTTTTATGAAACATTAAATCACTGTCTTGTTAGATTTAATTAGACAACATACAAGTCAAATATAATTTCCTTCTTATAAAACATATAAGGACACACTGTTAACATAGAGGCTTAAAAGCATCACGATGTCATATCTGCTGAAAAAGTTGAACAGATATGAATATCTTTGCAAGGAAGCATAGTAGTCTTTCGAACCATTTGGAGAATCTGCATTTGGCTCAGTTTAAGTTTTTTTTGGGGTCATCCTCAGTGCTACAACTTCCCTCAGCTCATGCTAGTTTCTATGAGCACTGCTGTTAAAAAAAAGGAGGTTGGATGAAAGGCAGTGAAGGAATGGGGGCATTTTATTAAAAATCTTTTTCCTCAACACATCTGAGTCTGGGATGCTCAGAAATCCTTAATATACCCTAAATCTAAATCAAGATGAAAATCAATAAGCAATTTCCCAAGAAAAACATGTGGCAGAATAATACTGAAAGAAGATGAGAATTCTAAAAACAGAAATAGAGCATAAGGGTTAAGGCATGTTTTTGTTTATACAAAGAGATGAGAAAAGGGCTTCCTGTATACCTATTTTACCTCAATATGAAAATTGTTATAACATTTTTAAAAATGAAGCAAACAGGAAGGTTTATTGATTTTAAGGAAACCATGGCGTCAAAAATGTAATCTTTAAAGATAAAGGAACAATCAAAATGCTTTCCTGTATTCTATGCATTGTCATGGTTTTGGTTCTGTTTAAGTTTTCTTTTTTGAATTGCCATTGGTTTTGTTTCAATTTTATGTCATTCTAGATGTTTTTTTGGTTGTATTTCAGGTATGTATCTCTTGTTTACCCTTTGTTGACCCCTTTTTGCCAGTCTCCTTCCCCTAGCTCCTTTCTAGATTCTTCTGTTCACCACTGCTCCCAGTCAGTTGATTACTCCAGTCTTTGTTCTGTTTGGATTTATGTTCCTGCTCTTCAGTTACTGTTTGCTGATTCCTCCTCATGTGTGTTTTCCTTGACATCTTCTGTTTAATTAGTTTTGCTGGATATTGTTATTGTTGGATTTTTGCATCAGTTGCCACCATTTGGATCAAATCTGAAAGAAACCACCTTAGGTTCAGTCTCTGCATTTAGGTCCTCTAAAAACCCCCAGACAACCTGACACGCTTAAGTTGTCAATTAGATGTGGTTGTCTCACCAAGTACTGTATATTGGCATTTAATAGAAAAAAAATTTCTGTGTGGCTAAGCATGATGCAACCTTCAATATTTGGATAAAAGCTTTGAAAGGGAAAAATGTTACTTTTGCCACAGCCTCATCTAAATCACAGCCTGACATTGTGAGGTTTATTCATTTGTGTTCTGTGTAGGTCTGACTGACACATGCATTCAAATAAAAATAAGTCAAATTATTAAATTAAATATATTGCTTTTTCCGCTTGGCCTTTTCAGGTCGTAAGGATGCAGTGATTGATTTTCTTTACTGTAGACAGAGTGTCTGCATATCATAGCATGAACTTAGGTAATGTAATTATTTGAGGTGCGCAGCTGCGGTTATGCACTGCTGGGACAGAAGTTTAGACTGGTTGGTTGCCCAACTTTTTAAAAAAGCATCAATATTCATGCTTTATGGTTCGGCTTTATTTGTGCGCACCGAGTCATGCACCAAGTCAAAACAACTAAATTATTCTTACACTCCTTGATGAGTACAACTAAAACTACTAGAACTACGGCAGAAAATTGGATAATACTTTAGGATTATTTATCAGAAGGCTTCTAACGTATTAAAAATAACATTTTAGATAGTTTTTCGTTCCTATAAATGGTCCTTACAGCTAAATGCCCATTCGGACATGCATAGAGTTTTTATGTAGGATGGATTTGACCAGTGAACAGCCAATTAGAGACTGAAAAAAACAAACAAAGAAAAACCAAATAATTGCTCCACCTAACCTAACCTACCTCCACACCTCTCAGTGTGGAGGATGTTCCTGAAGGAAGAATACTGACCACTATTTTCGCTGGTCATGACCATATGTGTTTAGAAGCCGTCATAGTACAGTAAAATGTATTCTTTAACGAGGGGGGGGGGGGGTGATTAGTTAATGATTAGTTGATAAAGCTAATTGTTAATGTAAGATGTTTAAATCTCAAATCATGAAAGTACTGTAAGACCAATAGTCATAATAGAAAGTACCAATTGGTTACTGGTACCAATAGTACCAGTAACCAATAAATCCAACATCACCAGCGTTCTTTGTTTTTACTCCACATTTTAACAAACCCAAACTAGAACCACAAAGGTTATAGAATAACTATCTTAAACTAAGTTCTATTGTTTAATATGTGATAAGCTCCTTGTCTAAAATTTTGATTTGCCATTCATTAATTTTAATTTGGCAACTAAATCATTTAAAAACTGTTGACATGCCAGTTTTGTGTCTCATGTTAATGCATTTCTGTTTACCTCTGGCTCCATTCCCTGTATACTGTGTGGATTTTCTGCTTAGCCTCCATGTGTCAAGCCTCCTGTTTGTTTTCCCCCTCCTGTCTTGTGGGATTTTGTTATATAGACTCAGTGCTTGTAGACATCCCTCTATGCCCAAAACACACAACCTCTGTCAGTATATGTCCGCTCACCTTGTCCTCTAAGGTTGGGTTTGGTGTAGACTCTGTCCTCATAGATAGGATCAATGTGGTGCTCAGGAGACTGAAGGGGCCGCAGTTCAGAGCCCAGGTGACTGTGCTGGCTGCTGTATGAACCCCTGGAGCCTGGAAGATATGAAATAACTGTCATTAGACAAACTTTATCTGATGTGTAGAAATATCTTTGATGAATATTAATAAACAGCTTTATGTTGTATTGAAAGACAATTAGATATGCTTTCACGTTAAATAAGTGAAAAAAGTCTTTTTTAGGGATAATTATATGCAACAAATACAAAAAGCAGCTATATAAATGTAATAAAAGCCAAATGCACACAAAAAACATAAAATGCCAGAAACATGTTTAAGCTCTCCTAGTTAAGACATGTACAGATGCTTGAATTACAATTTATTTTATATTTTAAGCTCATTCTTATACTTAAATTTTAAAATTTAAAAGTAACAAAGTCCAGTCTATTCAGTGGAGATAATCCCATATTTTCTTTTGAAATCTCCAGGATTCTGTAGGATCCAATAATCTCCCTGGGCATTATTTAAGCCTTAACATATTGGCCCATTAGTTTAGCCTGTGACCACCAGAGTTGGGTAGAACTTGTATTTATCTTCTACGGAGCCCCTCTGATGACATGGTCAAAAAAAATTTTTAATTGTGGCCACGAAATAGTATTTCGTGCGCACGAAGTAGTATTTCGTGGCCACGCAATAAGTTTAACGTGCGCACGAAATACTTATTAATAATATTAATATCATTCCTGGACAACTGGGTAAGCATATGGAGCGCGCCTTCTCTAAGGTCTAAGGCGCGCTCGATTTGCTTACCCAGTCGGTCTCCGCCAGTCACGTGACATTTGTTGCTAAGACGCCATTTTAGGTGGAAAAGGCGTAGTGTAAACAACCGCAGCATAGCTAAACGAAGGACTAAAGGCCCGTTTACATAGCAGCCTGTCCAAGATAAGTCATTACAGTTAACATAAGCCTGAAAACAGGGGCGGATTTATTGATATTATTAATAAGTATTTCGTGTGCACGTTAAACTTATTGCCTGGCCACGTTTCGTGGCCACAGTTAAAAAATGTTTTTGACCATGTCATCAGAGGGGCTCTGTAATCTTCCCTTTTTACATGAGAAATATATTTCCAAAGGAGATGTAAGGCAATTTTCCCAAGCTGGCTTTTAAAGCACTGCAGCAAAGAATATCATCCTGTTGTCACAATGTCTTTAACAACAGTTGGACAACACTGACTTTTGGCAGCACTATCAGAAAACAAAAACATGTATTTTCAAATGTATTTGTGCAACACAGGGGATGATCTGTGTTGCTGTGTTTTTTTGTTTGTTTGTTTGTTTTTTTTTACCTCAAAAAGCCCCAATAACCTTTTTAGAGATTGTGGTACTAAAATCCAGAGAATATAAATGAAAAATATGGTTGATTTTGGAGCAAAACTGCTAATTGGATATTCAGTCTTTCCTTAGCATATTCAACAAACAACAAAATATCCCAGAAAATGGTTTACCAAAAAAAAAAAAAAGCTTAAAACCCACTTTTTTAAATCAGCATTTAATTCTGACTAGGATAATGCTGTCTCTTAGATGTCCTCTTTCCGTGTGCTCCTTTCTATGCACCTCTGGAAGGCTTTTAATGTCCTGCAGCGCTGCACCACTACAGCACTTTTAATTGTATCTGTATGTTTTATATGTGTTATGTATTGTTTTATGGCTTTGTTGTAAAGCACTTTGGGTACCATTTGGATATTGTAAAGGGCTATACAAATAAATTTGATTGATTGATTGACCAGACCAAAATCTTATAGAAAACAAATTTGCAGAACAATGGAGATTGCCTTACTGTACACACCTGAATGAAATGGCTTGACTTTTTCTTGAGCATAAAGTCAAGCTCTACAGTGCTCTGATAATTCGCTAATGATTTAGTCAGATAGGTTGATCCAGAGATGCATCTAAAAGTTGAAAGATTCTGCCCCTCAATGACTGGAGTTTGAGACCACTGATGTACTTAGATTTTTGAGAAACTGCCACACATAATTTCTCTGTATTTTTAACTTTGTAAAATGTTCAAAGGTGTGAATACTCTAAGGATGTAATCACACCAGAAAAGTAACTTGGTCCACTTGTTTGGCCAGGACGAACACAGACTTTATTTTTCATAAGGTCCAGGTTTGTATTTGAATTGAACCTTTTGAAAGAAGACTATAACTCACATTGAAGCCAGCTGTGTGAGGTTACTCCCGTTGGTCTGAAATGAATGCATATCATAGACCAGGAAATGGAGTAAAACTGCTATGGGAGTCCTACATGTAGCGCTTCTGTTTTGCATATTTCTGTTTTTATTAAAGCTAAAACATTGTTGAAAGAGTCAAGAGCAGCTCATTCAGTATAGACTTCAAGACTTTTTATTTGAAAATCTGTAATGCTTCAGGGAATGCAACCTTCAAGCTGAGGAAGATCCACCACTTGCTGGCAGCAGTGTTGCTAAGCAACAGGTAGCTCGAACAGGTATGCTTTTGATACTTGATCACTACTAAAGTGGCTCTCTAAGTCCATGAGATGTATGGTTTCTGTATTTGGGTTTCTGTACTGGTTTGCATTTATTTATTTATTCATTAATTTATTTTAATGGTTTTTACACGTCTTTAAGAATGGTTTCAATAAATATGACCACCAAGGGATTGATTTTAAAAAGCATCAAGGACTTATTTTTCATACAAAGACAAAAAGAACCCACAATGGATCTATAATAATCCTTCATTTATGATCTAAAAGATTTTGAATAATCATCAAGTGCGTTAAATCAGACATTATGTAGCACATGTTTACTATCATAACTTTGTCCCCAAGCTGCTAAACATTAATCACACATGGATGGATATTGGGCTCATGTCACATTAACTAGCAATCATTAAGATGAAAGAAAGCCCTTAAGAAAATCTATCAATTTGATGAGATCATAGATGAAAAGGAGTTTCCATGAAACAGAAAGTGTGTTAGCAGGAAAGGAGAGAAAATGAGACACAATCTTAACTAAAGTCCAAAATAGATGAAGATGTTTACTTGTCATGGCCAACACCAACATTTATAAAAGAAATTAAATTGCCTTGACCTCTACCTGCCAGGCTCCCAGGCCTTTGCAGGGTTGCATTGGCGTAAAGCTCGTGGGAAATCTTGTAGCTGTCCGCTCCGATGTGGTGCAGCATGCGCTTGGTGGGTGACAGGGTGGCGTAGCTTCCCACAGCCGAGCTGAGCTGGTGGATGGGGGATGAGGTGTGATTCCCGCCAGGAGAGGTGGCCATGGGGAGTGGTGAGGAGGAACCAGCGGCGCCCGATGCTACCATATTAATAGGCGATGAAGTGCTGCAGAAACGACATAAATATATTTTTTATATATTTTATCTTTTGCAGCATAAGTATCTAGAACAGATTCATGGATTTGAAAAGCAGGTCTGAACAGAAACAAAGTGCTTCCATCCTTTCCAAACACTGAGGCTATTTTTAATTGAGTTTTTTTTCTTCATTATTAAACATTATGCATACTCAGTATATGAAATGCAATAGAGAATAACCTAGAAAACCTCACTTACTTATTGATTCCTATGTACTAAGAGACTGACAAATCAAAAGCTCAGCACCAAACTAAGCGGTGCAGGTAAATATTTTCTTCATTGTGGAAACTGTTACAGTGTTTGCAAGTTTGCTATTTTATCCCATGGCTAAATTCCCTGTTACTGAGGTGGTATAAGTGAAATTGAAGCGCCGAAATTTAAAGGTAACACTAAGAAAATGGTTATTATTTTTTCAGAACACATCTGACGTTCAATTAGGCTGAAAAAGAGAGAGACAATGTTAAAGGACATAAACAAGAAGCTAAATTGGAATATGGAAAAGCTACGTCAATTTGTCTTCCATTGAAATCCTTTTTTTCGTCTCATGTTTACAGTAAATAGCTACTTTCTCCTAAAAAATAAATATGGATGCTGTTTTTTAATTTAAGCCATGATGATCAAACTTATTGCTAAAATGAAAAAAAAATCAAACAAGTTTAAAATGTCAATCTACAGCTAAATAAAAAATAAACAAGTCATAGCAGTATGCATGTATAATAAACGCAAGGTTTTTTTTTTTACATTTACATCATATTCTTACATTATAGATTTCAAAGATGAATTTGAAATAGCTAAAAGCATCAGCAGCTGAAATCTTTAAAGTTACATAGATCCAGATTTGGGCCAAAAAATTCTAATAATTGCATGTCTACGCTTTGTAGCAGTTATTATAAATTAGTACGTTCTTATAGCACAGAATCAGAATGAGTAGAGTCAAACTTCTTTCATTCTTACCAAATCTACCCATATCAAATATATCAGTGTTAGGGTTGATTTTAATATCATTGAAAAAAGCAACACTTCATCTGTTTTTTTTTGTTTGTTTTTTTTTTATATATGGAAAGTAAAAGTTGTAAAAGTAGCTGATCATACTCGTTCAGTACCAGATAGGAAGGTTCAGAGGTTTTTTTGGCGGAAGGACAAACAAATTACATTTACACCATATAATCTTTATACTTAAACAAAAGCAAAATTATGTAAAATGTTATCTATTATTACTTTTTTGGAGCCTCAAATATATTTTGAGTCAACCAAGCAATAGTACTTTTTGATAAAGAGGCAAGATATAAAACATTTAAAAAATCTGCTCATGTAATGTATAGCTCAAATTTTGGAAAAGTTATTTTTCTCATGGTGTCTTACGACTTCTTCATTCAGCTCTCTCTGCACCCACTTCATCCAATGGTAGTGATGGTCTAGTAATTATCCAAAGGGAAGGGGTGACCTTGAACAGTTCTGTCTGTCACATGGCTTTTATATAGCAACAATTTCACTAAACATCCAAACATCTTGAGTTAAGAAAAGATAATGACCTATAATTCAAATTCTAATTAGCCACACTATGTTCAATTATAGCCCAGAAGCATGTTTTATAATCCTTCACATTGTTACAGCTGACAGACCTCTTGTTTAGGCCAACTTTCCACTCAGCTTGCTTTGTGCAACAGCTTGTTAAAATCTGCAAACATGTTATCTAACAGGAAGCTAATTTGCATAGTTAGGCCTGTGAAGACTTTAGTTTGCAAATTCAGTGCATGAGGTATAACCAAAAGCTGTAAACTGACAGAGTTGTGTGTCACTTTCTTAAATTGTATTTCCCTAATGAAGGAAAGCATGTAAACAACAATAGATTATTTGTCACAATCAAGGTACATCAAGTTTATAAATAAGGTAAATTCAAAACTAAAAAGTTTCTTCACGTTGTTTCCAGTCATTTTAATGAGATACCAGATGAACCAGCTGTAGCTAGCTGTGGAAACCCCAATATTCGTGTCGTATAAACCAAAGGAGCATTACTCTTGCTGCAGAGCAGCAAAAAAAAAGACAAAAGCTCTTAAAATCCTATGACTAAGATTGTTTTACCAATTCGAGTGGCCACGAAGCTGGAAACAGAGATGTAGTTAAGTGTCGTGGGGGGTGTGCAAAGAACCACCTGCAAAACATACATAGCTAAAACTAAAGAGCTTCAAGTGGACTAAAGGAACAAGAAGACTACTCCCCTCAACTCTATCAATACTAAGGGTACTGAAGTGGACATTGTTGACAGCGATAGAATACCTGGGTCCGCATAGACAACAAACTGGACGTGACATTCATTACTAATGGCCCCTACATGAAACGGCACCACCTCTCCTTCCTAACGAAACCAAGGTCTTGGAACATCTGCCTTTACCTGTGGCAGATGTTTTGCCAATCATTGGTTATCTTTTCACTAAACAGCTTGTTAAAATCTGCAAACTAAGAGAACAGACGCCAAAAAACTCAATTATCTCATTAGGAGAGCTGGCTCTGTCCTGAGTGTGGAACTACAGTCTCTGACATAGGTGTCTAAGCAGAAAATGCTGAGGAAATAACTTTATATTTTGAATAACTGGTCAAACCCTCTGAATAACATACTAAACTCCAACCGTAGATCCTTTAGTTCTAGAATGAAACCACAAAGGGGCTCAACAGAAGCCTACAGGAAGTTATTCCTTAGCTTTTCTAACTACATCCACCCCCATCCATCCATCCATCCATCCATCCATCCATCCATCCATCCATCCATCCATCCATGTTACCCTATTGCAGGGTAACACAGATACATACTCCAGTCTGGTTATTGGACTAAGGGAGGTAGACGTAGGCATAGGAAGAAGATGCAAACCATATTCTAAATGTGCAAATCACGCTGCACATTCAAGCTTTAAGACTGAAGTTGAACCAACCTGTAGGATTTTGCAAGTCGGCTTGGTGACTGTTTGGGAGAAGACACCCTCTGTAGTGTGGCGTAGCTAGGCATGTCTGCAGAGGCTGAACCCAGGCGCTGCAGCTTGGTGGGGGATCCTACCGCCTGCAGAGGGGAGCTGACACGCTGTAATCCAGAACAAAGTTGTACATTGTTAGGACAGAGTGTCGGTCATTTTAAGTAGTTTCCACTTTTTGGGTCTTATATTGTATTTCTTTTCCTTTTTCTTTAGTTTTGAGAAACTAGAAAATAGAACTTCTACCCTTTAATAAAGAGTGAAGGACTATTAGACTAAACACGAAGAGTCAAATTAAACTGCTTTGTGATTTAGTGACATGGGTGAAAAAATACTTTAGCAATATTATTCATATTCATAAAGTAAAAATGACAAAAATACTAATTAGAAAAAGTAAAAAACAGGCTCTTATTCAATCAACTAAATTTATCAAATTTATTACACTCTTAACATAATATGTTTGCATTTTACAAGAAGAAAAATGAAAGCATTCAGTTAAACTTTATGTTCAGATTTGAGGTGATTTATTCTTAAGATGAATGCAATTCTGTATTTCTAAAATAAAATAATGTGTTATTTTACCTGTTGTCACTCCCAGGAACTACAAGATACTCCTGATAAACAAAGAGATTTTCATTTTCTCTCCTATGCCAGGTATTAGTAAGGAAACACCTTATGTTTTTTTGACATAAGGTTTTTGGGTTTTTTTTTGGTCAATTTTAATGCCTCTTCATAGCGTTCCCCTACATTCCCTTAATGAATAAAGAGGAGTTAATTTTTAAACAATATTCCAAGTTTGAACATCGAGCTATCCTTTCAAAAGTAGAAAGGTATATACACAACAGAAAACCCTACAAGACATCATAAAATCCAAACAAAAGACACAGATTCAATTTCCTTTCAGTTTCATGCAAAAAAAACATAAAAAATAAGGTTTGATTCAATATTTCTGCGCATTTATGTGCATGCTGCATATGCTCTTTGTTAAAAAAAAGTCCCCAATATTACAGAAGTCCATTGATCTGAAGCTGTAAGCCTCTGCAAATAAGGCAGCTACACAGTTTACATAACCATGTATTAACCAAGGTATGATTATTGGATGGTCTTCACGTATTCCCTGCACAAAAAGGATGATTAATTCAACTCCTAAAAGCCTTCAATACTCTACGGTGTCATTACAGCTTCTGCATCATCTATCAAACAGTCAATCCAACTGTCATTCTGTACCTGAGCAGGCAAAGTGGCACAGGAGTAATACATGGACGGTCCAGCAGGTGCAGATCCGCCCTCAGTGGACATGTGTAAGGCGCTGCCAAGGACCTGCTGGGCAAATGAGTCTCTCTGGGACTGGGAGGAAGAGTCTGTGCCCACTAACTGGACAGCTGCACGGCTGGATGTCACCTAGACGGAGGAGTGAGCAGAAGGAAAAACACAGGTCAGGGATCAGAAAGAGTATGAGGGAAGAGGAGGAGGAGAAGGGAGGAATAAAGAACAGCAGAAAGACAGGAGATAAAAAGAAAAGTTCACCTGGTTGTAGCTGTGAACTGCTCCTCCGACCTGTCCACTGCGGGCTGCGACCGATTCCCCAAGTGTCAGCCCTTGGTTACTATGGTAACCTGCAGCTGCATAGGCATCCTGGGTATTGAGCTGCAAAGCACTTTGAGAGAGAAGTCCTTGTCCTGTTAAAAGAGACAAAAACAATTACGATAGATAATAGAGAAGAACAGGTAGATTGTGTGCAGCTGTTCACCAATAATATGCATTAATAAAAAAAACTGCATGATAAAAAATCATCTTATTTATCAACAAATACAGTAAATTATTTAGCTTTCTGTGTGCATCGGAGTTTTAAGAGTACGATCTCTAGAGAACGACTTTACAATAAATGTCAACAGTTTTTGCAAAACAGAGATTATTACTGGTTCTGTCCCAGCAGCAAAATGCTTGGTCATGCATGTAAACATCTGAAAACTGCTGCCATCTTAATTCAGCAGTGTATTGTAATGAAAACATTTGCTCTAAAAACGAGGAGAAAAGAATTAGGAATTACGTGCCAGAAATTAAACAAGTTTATGTCACAAATTGGAGCAAACTTCTGTCAACAACCCACCTCAAACCTGGGTCTCAATTCTGTCAAATTGGCTTTTTTGTAACTATTTTCAGATTATCTCTCCTCAGCAGCAGTCAGTCTTTGTAGAAAGACTTATTCTCTTTGTGGCCTTGAAGGCATTTTGTAACCTAGTTTACGTCCCACGTGTTACACAACGTATTTCTTTTTTTTTTTTCTTTTTTTTTTTTTATTGTGTTTGAGAGAAAAGAGTGAGCATAAATACAACCTGAGCCGGGATGTAACAAGCCTTGAAGTTAAATGATGAAAAAAGCATGGAAGGCACAGGCTGACAGCTGAGGTACTCTTAGTCAAAAGTCTAAGCTCTCCTGTTTTACGCGACCAATTTGTTCTTTTCTCTATTCCTCTGGCCTCCTCCTATTTTAACCTCTCTTCATTGACAAGTGGAACCAAACAAAATTTTCCTTTGTGTGGACAAACTTACCAAATAAAGCTGATTATGTTTATGCACTCTCTTCTTCCTAGCATTTTGACACATTTCAATGCAAAAAGTATCACAGTATAGCCAAATTTGGAATGAAACTTAAGCTTTAGTAAGTCAAACCTCACAGATCACATACTTGAGAGACTAAAAAGCAAATTTTTCCCCAAAAATCCAGAAGTGTTTCTTTCCTGAGAAGCAGTTTGCAGACTGCTGTGATTTTTTAATGGTAAAATCACTGACCAGGTTTAATTACTGACCAGGTTTAATTACCTTACGCAGTGCTCTGGTGAGTGTCTTTTTTGCTGAAGCCATAAAAAAATAAAGAGCCAACTCAAACTGTGGCTACTTTGACACGCAATATCAAATCATACGTAAACTTTGTTGTCCTTTAAAATTCCCTGTTTTAAATTTTTATCTATTTTCCCTGCATATCCCCAGAATTTAATTACGTGTGAATACCTAAAGGTAAACAAACAAATCAATCAAATTAAAACATGGTCTTTGTAGCTCTAGCCAAAACACAACAACCAAACCCCAATAAAATAATTGAATAATTGAAGACATATCTAGACCCTGCCTTAAGGTTACAGAAAATAAAAACTGTCAGAAAGAACAAGAAGATTGGTACATGGTTTGAAAGGACGTCAAAAAATAAAATCAAATAAATAAATACTATACTATCCAGCACAATGTAAAAAATTTTGCTGAAATACTGTTGTCTCAAGATTACATCCTATGATTATAGCCTATACAGTAGGTTGTCATATTAAGACAATAAATTCTAGAAATCACAGGAAGTAAAAAATGGAAAAGATTCACTATTATATGGAATGTACTGGAATATATCAGCATTTATTTATTGATAACATGGTTTGTGCCATTACATTTGAAAACAAATCAAATATAGTTTGAGTTAGTTTGGAACAATTTCCCTATTTTAAACAGTGTGACTGTTTAAACATTTCTTTCCCTCCAAAATAGTTACCATGCACGAGAATGTCCTTAGCCGCATTATAACTTCAAACAATGTCAGAAATGTTACTGATAAAACAATGTTCTGTATAGTTTCAACAATTCAGAAATGGGTTTAAATTGTACAAAGCCAGAAGTTCAATTTAATTCAATTCAACCATCTTTATTAACCTGAATCGTTGTGTAGCTCAGTAGGAAAATAAGACAAAGAACAAAATATGAAACAGACTAGGAGATCCAACATCTTACATACTTACATAAATACATACATACATACATGAGGCACAAAGACATATCAAGCCATTTAAGTGACTGCAATTCGCTGTTGCTCACATATCTTTTTTAATGTTAATAATAAACCTGTTCTAATGCAAATAATTAATGTCCGTCAGATTGATAATTGCTAATTTTTTAAACAAAAATTTATAATGTTCTGAAGTCTGTTACAATCTTTACCAGTTGAGATACAGTATCAAACTAAAATATAATATTAAAAGTGAAAACAGACTCAGCAACACAGGATTAAACAGGTAAATATATAAAAGAAGAAACCACATAAAATTCTCAATGCTAAAGAAAAAAAAACCTTGTGAGCTTTTCAGCAAACACAGAGTCTAAAATGACTTTAAAGGTCAGCTTGTCATCAATCACTGTACACAGTTTGCTGTGATTACAGTATTAGTGACTGAAACATTTTTGTAAAAAAAACGCAGCAGGTTGCAGATTACAACTTCTGCTGGGGTCCATGACTATATGTCTAGATTTTGAGACAATAATCTGTACAAAGGAGGTTTCACACCATTTAGTAAACTCCATGATCACTGCTCCTTGTTCAGGGTCATCAGTGCTAAAAAGAGATTTAATAACTATTGTCAGCAATATGTTGCTGATTGTGTTGACTATGACGATAATTTGTGTACTTTATGGATAAGAGAGGTAACAAAACATAGCCGTGGGAAGACCTTGTAGAAAGGAGAAGATCAAAAAGTAGCCCATTTACCTTTAACTCTGAGACCGAACAGTTACTAACAGTTATAAGCCAATTTACAAGAACATAATCAATATTTTAAAAAGCAAAACAAAAAACTTGTTTGTTAACATTTGAGGCTGGATGTAGTTAAAAGCAGAACAGAAATCTATAAAAATAAGTCTCACATGGGTTTGTGAACCTCAAGGTGTTTTAAAATCAAATGCCCTATAAGCAAACTAGGATAGATCCAAATGGGTAATGCTTGCTGTTAATTCTGTGTGGCTCCAAATTAGAGCAGACACACCATTTATTAGACCGATAGTCCTCTTGGCAGCTGATTCAGCTACGATTCCTGAAAAAAAAAAGTGAAAAATGCGGACATTTAAGAGCTGCAATCGAAGCCTCATAACCCAGCCTTCCATTCATCTTCTACGGCTTAGCCATCAGGGTCATGGGGCTTGCTGCCCATCTCCAGCAGTCTATGGCATTAGACATGGTCCACACTGGGCAGGTTGCCAATCCATTGACTCAGAGACAAACAACCATGCTACACACATACCTTAGGGTTAATTTAATGACCGATTATTAACCTACCAGTGTTTTTGGACTCTGGGAGGGAACTTAAGTACCTGGAAAACACACACACACATGTATGGGGAGAACATGCAAACTGCATGCAGAAAGGCTCGAAGTCCAGAACTTAAAGTCGTAGGGAAGCGGCTGCTCTGACCGTTGCATTTCCGAATTCTCCCGAGTGGTGTCCGACTTTACACGAGTGAATAAAGTAAATGTGATTTGTCACATTTGTCGTTTATCAAGAGGGTGGGATTGTTGCGGCGGAAGATTCGCAAGCATGTTTGGTTGTGGCCGGTTTCTCGGAAGTATCTTGTAACTAGTTAGCAACTTAGCGCTAGTACTGTAGGTTCTCAATGGGAAATTACATTGGGACCAAATTGCACTTAGCAACAACACTGTCAAGGAACGCTATGGACAGCTGAAACAAGAGGAGGAGAGTTTTGTGTCGGAGGTCGTGGATGATTCTCCTCCGTCATACATTTTTTTATTTAGAGGAAGAAAGTCGGGATGAAGATGTTGTGGAAGAGGACGCCAGCGCTGCAGAAGGTTGGTTTGGTGTATAAGGCTTACAGCTTACATGTTTGAGCCCTTGCCTCACAACGCTGCCAGTTCTGTTAGCTCTACACCTGCCGAAGACACAGACGTCCATCCCCGTGAACACTGGGACGGAACTCAATGGTAAAGGAAATTATTCTTATTTCATCCGTTGCATATATTAGCTGCGACATATGATTCAAGATGCTATGATTGAAAAAATTTGATTGACAGATTACCGTTGATTTATGATTGGCCGAATGTAGGTGTTCAGGCTGACGTATAACTAACTGGTCTGCATGAGATAATGGAAGGCCCCCCCACAGATTTTAAGACAGGATTTTTTTTTTTAAATAGAAATGTTCTAACTTTTAGGACAATATGGTCTAAAAAAAGAGTACATTTATATACATGTTTAAGCCAGAAAGATTGGACATTTAAATATGACTTCCTTACGACTAAACCCAAAGTTACAGACTGCCATGGTACAGCCATCCTCATAATGAGAGAAATATTTTCACTTTAAGCTGCTATCAGTAGCTATAAGTGGTTAAAATAAAAGTACCATAACTTAGTGTTAGCCTTCCATTAATGAAAGAAATTATTCACCTTTCTAAAAACTTCTTGTGATGTGACATTTTCATATTACAGCTAAGGCAACATTTTACTGACAAAAATTTTATGAAATATCCATTGAAAAAAAAATCTGTTCTATTCCTTCAACAAAGGTTTAACTCTCACCCTTATATTCCTTTCAAGAGACATGCTGCCCTTCCAGTAAAACAGCTTCAAATTGAAAACAAGCAGAGGGAAGGTTAATCTGGCCGCCTCAAATAAACCAGAGAATAAAATTGTGAAAAAGTTCTGCAACCTTAAAGCAAAAATCTACAATATATATTTTTTTGTTCAGTGGTGTAGTGAAAGTGTATCCAAGAGAATTAGTCTACATGTATGATTTATATCAATGCTGAAATTGTTCTATCATAACTATCCCTGTTTGTATCACTGTGATTCATGTCCATGTTTCTACAAAGAGGAATAATAGCTACAGAAAAGCACAACAGCATGTAACTCG